CACACACAGACAGGCTATCACTTTCATCATCAGTACATCACATTTGTCTTCTCTCCTGGCATGGTGAACTTTGATGTGGATGTGATGTGGAGAGACAGGGGTGGTGTCGGGGATGTCATTAATTAGAGCAGTTCATCCTTCAACCAGTTTTTTTATCCTTATAAAGTAGTAGTAATACTTTTTTTTTCAATAATAATTTAGAGGGAAATATTTAAAGCCAAGTACAATTCTCAAACCATTTGTGAAAATACATACAAATTGAAATCTAAGATCAGGGAACTATACTTCATCAGAAATCAAAAGAGACAAATGCAAACATATTTACACCCTCATGAAAAAGAAAACGAGAGAAAAAAATGCTAAATATATGTACAATTTTCCTTTTAGGCATTCCTATCTACAAACAGTTATATTTACTCATGGTTAAAGATAATTTATCAGACGGATGCGTTTAATAAGTCACACTGTCACTACTAGGAAAGTAATTTATGACTTATTGACAATAAATAAAACCAAGCAGCCTCTTTCCTAACCTCAAGGCTACTGAAACCGTACGGTAATAAAGGCCTTTCGAGTCCAGCTTGCAGCCTCATGGCTCTCAGCCATAACAGTTTTAGGCTGTCAGTCCTCTGCGTTATCCTCTGAATGATGCGAGCACCGTTGATCGCAGAGTTCAATGAAGAAACTGGACTGAAAAGCTTTGAAAATACCTCTCTGTCATAATTGAAGAAAAAAATACAGATCAGTGTATCATCCTCCGGTGAATTGGGGATGTGTGTGTGTGTGTGTGTGTGTGTGAGTCTGTGCTTTCTGCTCCTTCTGTGAACCTGACAGAGGTGACGTCACTGAATCTGGAAGCGATTTGGCTAGACTATGATGCTATTGGCCATGATTCAGAAGAGGGTGTGTGTGTGTGTGTGTGTGTGTTTGTGCTCTACCAACGCAAAGCCAACATGGTCAAAGTCTACATGAAACGCTCTGGAGCCGTCTTATGCCGATGAGGTAATTTCTGCAGGAACATAATAGACATGCGTCCAGTTCCATCGCTCAATATCTTCCCCTGTGCTCTTTCATTCAATGTGATTCTTTGGCGTTCCCTCTTTCTACCTGTGCCAGCGGCTCGCCTTACGTTGTCCTTCATCACGTAGGCTACACGTGTGACCCACCTTTCTACTTTCTATTAGTCATACTTTTTGTTCTCTGCAGTCCTCTAACATCATTCTCTTCAACATCATCTTCTTCTTCTGTTTGGCTTTTCACCATCGCTTCCATAAACCGTACAGCAGAATGGTAACATTAATTCACAAGCGTAGGAAAAAAAAGATATTTGTGAATACAGTCATGAAAAAAACGTATTCCAAATGTTCCTTTCTTTTTTTAGCCTCAATAAACAAAATAAAAGTCAATCATTTTGAAACTATTTTTATTTTAAGGGATTTTATTGTTTTAACTAAAGCGGCTTAAGAATGAGGAAAGTTGGAAGGGAACGGGTACTCAGCAAAGGCCACAAGTCAGAATTGAAAACACAAAGGACTCCAGGAGTAGAGTTCAGCTGTTGTCACAACCTATTTAAGCTAGCCGATACTTCTGACAAAGCTAAAGTTAGTATACTCACGCAAGACCCGGCTGTATGTCCAGTAAAAGACTTAAGCTAAAATTCAACATGGATGATACATTTGAATTATCGTCATCTCCTAATAACGTGTAGAAATAAAATACTGATAGTGTTACCATGAAATGTTTGAAATTACCTTTCATCACAAAAAGCTATACCAGCAACATTCTGCTAATAACAGAATAACAGCGTTACTTTCCACTCATTGGCTAATTACAACATTTCTATGTTTTAATAAACCTCTAAACTGTAATCTTTGGAAGAAGTACAGGTTATGATGCTGCAATGCATTTGAATGAAGCTCTAACCATGTTAGTTTTAGCACCGCACATCTAGCTAGCTACGTAGCATCTTCTATATGTAGCAATCCGAGGAATGCTAATTGCTCGTTAACGTGAAATGAATCGCAGCAGGTTGAGCCAACAAGGCGTCTTTGGTAACTTACACACACAGCACTCTCCAACTGGGCAAAAACACAATATAAAGTAATTTATTTTGCAGTAGGCTATAGTACATAGTGGTTTAATGACAGACCTTGAACAACAAGCCGCTTTGTTTGGAAGACACACCTGGTGTCTAAGTTTCAATTGCATAAAATGTGAATTAGGCTTGTCATGTCAAGAATACATTTTCTTACAGGTACGAATTGAAGAAAACCCAATCCTCACTTCAGAATCAGAAACATTCATTTGCCAAGTATGTTGGATATAAAAGGAATTTGTCATGGTGGATGGTGCATACATGACATTGAACAAAAGAGAACAATTTATAATTAAATGAATAATAGAATATTAAATATATGATAAAATACAAATAAAAGCAAAGTGCAAAGGCAAACGCACAACAATACTATATACAATTGTGTAGGGAAGTGTGTTTAAATAGAGTCAGTCAGGGGGTCTGTTAATGAGCCCGTTTGCAGAGGGGAAGAAATTGTTTGTGGCGTGAGGTCTCGGTCCTGATGGATCTCAGCCTCCTGCCAGATGGAAGGGGCACAAACTGTTTTTTCCACGGTGAGAGGGGTCAGCTACAATCTTACTTGCTCGCAACAAGTCCTGCAGGGATGGCGGGTTGCAGCAAATCACCCTCCCCGCAGAGCGAATGACACGCTGCAGCCTGCCCTTGTCCTTGGCTGTGGCTGCAGCGTACCAAAAGGGCGATGGAGGAGCAGAGGATGGAGTCAATGATGGCCGTTTTTTTATGTGTTTGGCAAGTTGAATTTCTTCAGCTGCCCCCGGAAGTACATCCTGTGTGTGAAGCTGAGCCTTCTTGGTGATGGAGTTGATGTTTAGCTCCCGATTGAGGTGGGTGATGTGAGTACTTCAACAATACATTTTTACATTTCCCTGAGGTGAGCCGAGCCGAGAGGGTGACGGACAGACGGATCTAGCTTTAGAAGCTGATACCACAGGAAAGACTCATTTGTCACCCCGGTCTCAAGAGCCATATGACTGCCAAGTATGTGTATGTGTGGCGGGGTCAAGGATCATGAGAGTGTGATACATGCTGGGGGTGTTTTGCCTTTGAAGGAGCATCACTGTTCTCCACATGTAGTCTACAGCCATGAGATCTGCTCCACCTCTCTCTCTCTCTCTCTCTCTCTCTCTTTGACCACTAAATGTCCCACTCAAGGCCCATGATTATGTTGGGTCCTTATGAAGACACGTCAGTGACGTTATGAAGCATTGAACAGTGTCTAACTTGTGGTTAACAACCCTGAGGCAGGCTGTTACCATGGCACTTTGAGGGAGAGAGTTATGTATGACTGTGTGTGTGGACCTGTGTGCGTGTGTGTATATGTATGTGTATAAGTATGGCTTACGAGCACTGAAAGGGACCAAATCATTTGTCACTTGCGGCTTCACATGTCTGGGATTGAAATTGATGACAAATCTATGAGGTGCTGTGTGTTTGTGTGTGTGTCTGTTGTGTTCATATGTTGGCTCGTGTGTGGGTGATATCATCACGAGAGCTTCTATTTCTCACACTTTATGAAGCCATGCCCCTGCAAACTTTCACAGTTTGCTGACATTGCATGCACGCATGGTGTGTGTGTGTGTGTGTAATATATTTGTCATTGCTTTCTTTGGCTGCCCACACGGGAAACACAGGCATTCAAACTCCATCATGCACGTCTGTCGTCCAACCATTATGACGCGCGCTGCCTGCTCCATGTCCACACATTCGCGTTTGCTCTGTCCAGTACGAGACAGTTTTGAGATGTAAACTGGATGGACGGAGAGTTTAATCCGCCGTTAATCAGCTCCTCGGAAAACTCACTCAAGCATCAGACACCGTAGATTGCTTTGCCTCTATACCTCGCAGTGCTTTTCATCACTCAACCCAAGGTCTCCTCCTCCTCTGCTGTGTGTGATGCCGAGAAGCCCGCAGGATTAAACCTAAATCTGTTGTTTATCATTTAACCCATTACTGCTAACGCAAAGCTTTCCCTCCCTCTCTCCCCTCCTCTCGCTGCATGTGTGGGGCACAGTCTCAGATCAGGCAAAAGACAAGCCCATAAACAAGCCTTCAGGCCCACTTAAGGGGTTTTTTCAGGGAGAGTCCGGTATTGGACGCGAGGAGGAGGGGGGTTGGGGGAGTAGGTAGACAAATCAGCTGCTCTGTTTATGTACCTTTCAGTGGTGATTACCGGCCCAATCCGTCTGTTTAACAGAGGAAGCAGCGTGGCCTCGCTGCAGAGCGCGTTTGGAGAGTCGGGGGGACGCATGTTTGGCACAGTTGAAGCGCACAGGGCCTGGAGAGGTGCCATCGAGTTGCGTGGAATTAAAGCGCCGGTGCGGCAGAGAGTGTTTATTTACTCATACATGCAACTCTAACCGAGTCAGCGGAGGAAAAGCAGAGGAAGCAGAGGACCACCACAGACCGGAGGACTGAGGACATGTGTCAGCCGCTCAGCACGGCCTTGGCACAGGCCTGTGTTTCCACGCAGTGCATGTGAAGGCGCTGTGTGTGTGTGTGTGTGTGTGTGTGTGTGTGCGGGAGTGGGTATAGACACACTGACGTGTATAGTGCCCGGCACCGTAAGAGATGTATTTACAGAGTCAGTTTACAGAGTGAAAGATTCATGGGAGTGAATAGGCTACTTCATACATTCTGGATATTATTTTTTCATTACATTACAGCGGAGAATTAAGTCATGTGTGTGTGCGTGTGTGTGTGTCACATGCTGTGCAAATTGTGGCAGGTAAAGGGAGACAAGCTTAACTGACAGTATAAATAGTTCAGGTCTTGTGGCATTAGGTGGCATGGATGGAGGCTGATTGCTCCCGAGCCTTTGCCATTACACTGACTGATGGGTAGTTTCCACTCGGGACCACTAGATGGCACTAACGCCATAACGCTCACCAGCGCACATGAAGGCGATAGACGAGGCTATACACGTTATAAATACATGTTTTATTGCTCACCGTTTAACCAGCAACGAGTTTCGTTCAAAGGAGCCCATGCGTCATCTCATAAAGTACACCACCCGTGGTTTTAAAATTGAAAGTCGTTTTTTGTTTTTGTTTTTTTTTACCCCGGCTTCCGTTTGGGATGCCATCTTAATCCCCCCTACCAGCCACCGGAAGCTGTGGATAAAGCCGAGGTTGCAAAGTGCGTCACACAGTGAAAAAAGGAGAAAGAAGAGAGGAGCCTGCAACCCATCAGCCGACAGCCTGGTCCTCCTTTCTCCCGTTGCGCACAGGAAACCCCGGCCGGCGTTTGCACCGGCGCTATGGTGAAGATCGCCTTTAACTCCGCTCTGGCCCAGAAGGCGCTGGGCAAAGAGGAGCCGTCCGACGCGAAGGTGAGCTTCAGTCTGCGGTGTCTTCTTCCTCCTGTCTGCACCCCGGCGGCAGGCCTGCCCTGACCGCCGGCTTTGTCACCAGTGACCGAGGACTTGCATTCGTTCCTTATTGTTTACCATGCATTTTTGCATCATTATCAAGGTCGTTGCGGTGTTTGTGTTTTTTTTGTTGTTGTTGTTGTTGTTGCGCAAACTGCGCGGAGAGCCGTGTTGCACCTGACGCAGCTCCCAGCGGGGCCGCCCATCTGCCCAACGTCAACATCCTCCGAGACAATTGCGTTATGTTTTGAATGTTTATATCCAAGACGTGCGAGGGTGATTTACAGATTTTGCTGACTGCATTGCGTGCGCGTGTGCGTGCGTCTTTGTTTCAGGACCCCGAGCTGGCCACTGCTCCGGTGGGCATCGAGGGCTCCACAGGCCGCTGTCTGCTCACCCTGCTGGGCGTCGCCTTCATCCTCAGCGGGCTCATCGTCGGGGGCGCATGTCTCTACCGCTATTTCACCCCGAAGGTAAAACACGCGTGCGTCAGTGGGTGCTGTTGGTTAACGTGTGTTATCCACCCGTCACGTGTAAACGTTTTCAACAGCCCCAGGTGACGTCATCCAGATCCTGTTGGCAGTCCGGTAAAATACTCACAATTATCACAAGTATCCCAGTGGCTGCGTGGTTGTTCAAATGTACATGCACCTGGATGGAGGTGTTATTTTCATTGTACCTGCAGCAGGTCAGGAAGGGTTGTTGCAGGTTGGGTGAGTCGTTAAAGCTTCTGGCTTTAGAGAAAGTGCAGACTTAAATTGGAGGGGAAAGAGGAACTTCCTTTCAGTATAATCGGTTTCCTGCCTTACGTCTCCGGCACAACAGCAAGAGGTTGCTCAATAAAGTATGAATGCACACAAACACAAGATTCATGACACCTACAAATGTAATGTTAACGAGTTGACCTTCTTACTTTTAATGGGGTCTATTTACGGTTTTCTTTCTTCAACAATGTTGATTTATTTTTTCTTAGACATCATATCTCATTGATTGTGATTCAGATGCTACAGGATATATTTTACTGAATACTTACCAAATGGGTGTGGACCACAGTGTGGACTGTAACCAAACAGTCCACACTTGTGCCTCTTCTTCATTTGGTTTGGCACTCCACATCCTCCACCTGGGTTTGACTTGAACACCAAGCAAGCTATAAACTATACACATAGTACCTGCATGCAAAGAGATGCAAGACGTAAATACAATAAAATGAATCCCAGAGAAACAACAAATGTTTAAGCCACAAATTCACGATATTGAATGTGTCCTTATGTGCGTCAGAGTGATTTATTTGGCCGCCCCCACGTGTGTCCCCCCCTCCCCCCCTCCAGAGGATTTATCACGGTGCGATGCAGTTCAGTGACGTGTCCGCTGGAGGAGAGAACCAGCCGTACTACCTGCCGCGGGTGGAGGAGGAGGTGGAGATCTCCGACAGCATGGCCGTTATCAGCGTCCCACCTCCCCGCTTCAGACCCGGGGACCCTGCTTACATCCTCCATGACTTCAACCGGGTACCCAGCTTACGGCACTGCAGATGTTGTTGTTTTTGGGGTTAATGTGGTTCTAATTATTTCCTGATTGCGGTGCGTGTGAGCAGAAGCTGACGGCGTATCTGGACCTGACTCTGAGGACCTGCTTTGTGATTCCTCTGAACACCTCGGTGGTGCTCCTCCCTCAGGACCTCATCGACCTCTTCTCGCAGCTGATTGTGAGTAGCCGTCTGCGAGATGCAGCAACCAGGTAGAAGATGATGATGATGATGATGATGATGATGATGATGGAGGGAATAACTCTCCTGGAACGGCGCTCACTCGAAATCACGCATGAGCCCGAATAAGCTGAATTTGTAGAAGCGATGAGTACAAATTTTTTATCTTCACTTATCCCAGACGTTCTGTGTTGCTCATACTGCACAAGGAACCAAATTTACTACTCACACATTTTTATGTCTGTACACTGCGTTCCACATTGTTATGCAAATTACTTGCGGCTCAGATTTTCCGAAATAGTAATGCACAGTCAGTATCATTTAAGTCATCAACGGTTCAAATTTTATTGAACAAACCTCCCAATGATAATTTCAAAAATAAACTCAAAATGCAGTGTTCCAAATTATTATGCAGAGTTGAGATATTTTATAGGTTGTAAAGAACTAAAAATTGTCATTTGTTGAATTTGCAGCATTAGACGGTCATATTTACTTAAATCCCCAAAAAGTTTTAATCTAAAACCTCTTAACAGATCAAGTTAGGAACCCTTCTTTGGCATCAACTTCACAATTCTTGCATCCATTGAACTTGAGTTATTTGGTAGTTTCTGCTCTAATGTCTTTGCAGGATGCCATAATAGCCTCTCAGAGCACCTACATAGCTCTTTTGCTTGATGATGTTCCAAAGGTTCTCAATAGTATTACGGTCAGGGGGAAGATGGGGGGGCCACACCATGAGTTTCTCTCATTTTTATGCCCATAGCTGCCAATGCCCCAAAGGTATTCTTGGGGGCATGAGATGGTGCATTGACATGCACGAATGTTACTTTGCTACGGAAGGCACGGTTCTTCTTTTTGCACCCCGGAAGGGGCCTACCAGCTCTCTGCCCATGATTCCGGTATTGCACTATTCTATAGAGATCCTTTTTCTTCCCCATTTTGCCTGCAACGTGTAGCTTGCTTAGCCATGTGGAACATCCTTCTTGAGTAGTTTTCCTTTGCTTGGGCTCACCTGGCAAACTAATTATCACAGTCTGAGATTGATTTCAATCATCCAAATAGCCCTGAGACACAAAACCATCCATGAGTTTAATTGAAAAACAAAACGATGAATGTTTATGACCCTTAAATGCAATTTGCATAATAATGTGGAACGCGGTGTAGTTTGATATTTGATGTCAAAACAAGTGAACTCTACATTAGTCTACTGAGTGCTGCAGGGATGATGTGTTTTTAATAGGCCAACCCTGGAAGTTCGCGCAGGTTCACTGGACGAAAGGCCAATCTCATTTTGGCGTATTGCAAAAAATACACTCCTTTTGGAAACTGAGGTTTCAGCTAGCTTTTGTTCAAAGACTCTCAAATGATTGCCACTTTTATTATTAGTGAGGAATAATCATCGGCTGCAGCAAAAAGCTATTGTTTAAATTCAAAGAAACTACACCAAAGTTTTCTCTACCGTACTTTTCTTTTTTTTAACCAGACTATTTTGCGAATCGGACAAAAAACCCCACTAACTTAGTACGAGGAAGCTGGAAAGGGGAAAGTACTTACTCATTAGCACATTTTTACTTCTCGTTCCTGCAGCACGCTACAGTGCAAGGCTTGTGTTTTCATTTCGAAGTCCTGAAGTTAATGAGAATGAAAAGTCTGTTTCATAGCACTTCAAGTCAAATGCTAACGTTAGCATGCTGGTAATAACAATGCAAACACGCAGATGTTTGGCAGCAATAATGTTGACTATCTCAATTTAGCATGTTTACCATATCAATTGTATTGACCGGTGGAATATTCAATAATTCACCAATAGGATGAAAATGTTTTTGTGGAAGTGAGCACGGCCAAGTCTGACAAGAGTCCGACTGTACTTAGGCAATAGTTCTCACCCAGTTCTTCCCCATGATGTCTTCTGCAGCATCTGTGGTTTGGTGGGTGATGGTGCAATCAGCAAATGTCACTATCAAAAGTGTTTCCTCCAATGCAGAAGTTGATGATGATTCATCATTTGGAGTCCTCCTCAGTCAGTTTCACAATTTTGCCGCCAAGAGCTGTTCCAATTCTCTACTGCTAAGGAAAGGAGCTTCAATGCTTCCCTACTTCGCTCCTTTTCACACACTTCTCTTTGCTGTCCTGGCTCCTTAATGGTGGAACGAGCTCTCTGACGACTGCGAAGAGTCTTTACATCTTCTGCCGCAAACTAAAGACTCACCTCTTCAGACTTTCCCTCGACTAAAAGCACTAACCAAATTGTAGCACTTTTAATGGCTCTTATCTATAGCAAGTTGTAAATCGGCTTATTTGATGAAATTGTTTTTTGTTCTTCTGGGTTTGTATCCTCGCTTTGAATAAAAGCGTCAGCTAGATGACATGTAAAGGTAATTTTTCGAATCCAGCATTTGCTTCAGTCCTGTTCACTGAGCTGCTTCTCTGTTAGCGAGGAGTAGAAGTGTTTCGCATCTTGGATTTGCATTTATTTATTTATTTATTTTTCCTATCTGTCACAGTCCGGCTCCTACCGCAGTTACTTGGTGCACGAGGACCTGGTGGTGACAGAGCGCATCGATGACATCAAGTCTCTGGGCTTCTACATCCGCCGACTGTGTGATGGGAAGGAAACGTACAGGATGCAGCGCCGCTCCAGCCTCCTAGGTCTCAATGCGCTGCACCGCTCAAACTTTTTAGTCGTCTTTTGTTGTGCTTCATTCACGTTTTAGAAGTGCCCGTCTGTGTTTTCATTTCATTCCTCAGGATCCCCTCTGATACATGTGAATAAAATCCAATAACATATTGGTATTGGAAACAGGCGTGATATTGATCAGCACCACTGATGTCTTTGTCTGCCAGGTGGAGGCATCGAGAAGCGCTCCGCAGAAGAATGCTTCACCATCCACCATTTTGAGAACAAGTTTGTGACGGAGACCAGGATCTGCAAGGCTTGATGGGAAAGTGCAAGAAGGGTCAGTCAGTGAGGGAGTGAGCGAGTGGTAGAGAGAGAGAGAGAGAGAGAGAGAGAGAGAGAGAGAGAGAGTCGTGTGGTAACAGCTTTCAGCGGAAAGTGACTTTTGTATAAATCCCTTATCCTCCCTGCTTTTAATCCCAGTGATAAGTGAACTTAAATTCCAGCATTATATAGCCTAACCCCAGCCACACCTCAGCTCTCTCGCTCAAGTACTCACTAGTTAGTCCTGTACTAATAATTCTCATCAGTCTGATAACTCGCATTATACTAATTGTTTTTGTTGGATTCTGTTCCGTTGCCGTAGCTTCCTGCTGAATTACCTTTTACTGTTTTTACTGTACGGCAACATCCACTCGAGTGGTTTCCTCTGAATACCGTAGTGAAACTGAGAAGTCCTTCGTATGGGACCCTCTGTGTGTGTCAGCCTACTGTCCCACTCTTAACGGGGTCTCTAGGTCAGCAGGTTATGCTTTGTTATAGGGGAGCGAGGGCACAAGCCACACGGGACAGTCGCGTTATGTCGTGGAAGGTACCAGACGCTCGAGTCCCGACCTCTCACTCGCCCCATTTTTGTAGATGTTTCCCAGAGTGCCTCGCTGCTCCCAGAGGCCTCTGCTGTCCTGCTGTGTGATGATTTTTCTTATGTCATAGATGGTGAGCAGTCCAGCACCCTGTATTACTTGTGTTTTGTGTAGAAACCTCATTTGTGACAATAAACTTGGAAAGACGCAAGAAGGGAAAGTTACAGCGAATTTGAAAACTTTTTTCGTCCATGAATCTGATCCATTGCTTACTATAAGCTACTTACTACAGGTTTTTCCGAACTTTGTATTTTCACGGGGAAAAAAAACACGTTTTGTAAAGAATTGTTCAGTGAATCTGCATTAAGCAATTCTTTTCCATTTATTTTGAAAGCCCTTGCGGAAAAAGGTTGATGGTGCGAAATAGAAATCGCCTTTTGCCAAATAATTTCAAACCGATTCCAACTCGACGCCTGCACAGAAAGACAATCGGACAGGAAGGGTGTGTGTAGAAACGTGTCTCTGTCTAACAAATACTAGAAAATTCGATAAAAACCAATGTGTGCAGCTACTGAAATAAATTCACTGTCGCTGAATAAAGTTACATTTCCATACCTACTGAATATTTTGGCTCTTTGTTCATTATTACGGCGCTAGCTCATCAGACTTGTATCTGGAGGGAACGTGCGGCTGCTTCCTGATGCTTATTAGAAATGTTTGGCAATGATCACAAAGGCGTCCTTCATAACAAGAACAGCTCGCTCCTTTTATTAAAAGTATAAATAGGAAAAGAAATACCACATTTTGAAACGCATTCCCATGTTTTTTTACTAGTGTTCATGTGAATGATCTGCCCCTCGTTCTGAGGAGCGTAGTCTTTTTATCCCAGAGTTCAGAGGCTGAGGTCAACTGCTGAGAGCAGACTGACCGCAGTCTAGTCCTCCTCCGCGTCGTCCGCGTCCTCCGCCCCCGTCATACAGGACAGACGCCTGCTGAACGTCAAGCTCTCGGGCATCTCCGGCTTGCTCAGTCGCTTCCAGAATTCGTCGGTGGTGAAATAGTACATGAGCGGGTCCAGGCTGCAGTTGAGGCTGGCGAGGCAGAGAGTGAAGGGGTGACATCGGCGGATCAGGTCCCTGAAGGCGCAGTCCCTCAGGGCGTCGGCTTTGACCAGGAAGTCCAGGGGCATGGTGATGTGGTAAGGAGCAAAGCACACCAGGAACACCAAAGCACAGCTCAGCACCATCCTCAACGCCCGCCGCTTCTCCCCTCTGTCGGGAATGGCCCCCGCCTCGGACAGCCGCAGGCTCCCGGCGGTCTGACAGGCGCTGGCCAACACCAGGACGAGGGGGATGACGAAGCCCAGCAGCTCCGCCAGGATCAGAAGGGCCCAGGCCCCCGGGACGCTGACGGCCTTCATGGGCAGCTCCGAGAAGCACACCGGGACCGTGCCGCTGCTGAGGTTCCTCAGCAGGGGGAAGGGCAGGCAGCACAGGCAGACCAACAACCAGCCCACGGCGCACACCAACAAGTCTCCCTTTCGCTTGGACGAGGTGTACCTCAGCGGGCGCATTACCAGCTCACAGCGGCGCACGCTGATGCACACCAGGAAGTAGATGGAAGCGTACATGTTGACGTACTTCAGGTAGAAGCACATCATGCAGAGAGGGTGGCCAAAGGGCCAGGTTTTGTTCAGGTAATAGTAGATCCGCAGAGGCAGGGAGAGAACCTGAGGGGAGCGGAGAGTCAGTCCTTGGTTGTGGACAGAGAATAGCTCTAAATTCTGTTTTTATTTATTCTGTAGCATTGGAGATTTATTAACTGTTGTGGTTTAATCTATAATAAAAAACAAGCAATTGTGTGTTTTGGCATTCATGATTCTTGTATAAGATATAAAGAAATATAACTTCTAACCTGTAAATCAATGAATCCATAAATACATTTCTAAAATTCAAAAAGCTGTATTATACAGCCATGATTGAGTGAAACAAACAATGAAAATGAACCTCAGTCTGTAGCCCCATTATTCATGCAGAGTAGAATTTATCATGAAATATCAGCGATAAAAACAAATTCGGTCAAAATCAGCGAGATAAGTCAAACGTAGCAGTCAACGGTTTAAACACTTTTTCTCATTCAATTCAAAGGGACAGTACATTACGTTAGACGAATGAAGGAGGACCAGGGGGCTACGTTTTTACCTGCAGAAGGTCGGCCACAGCGAGGTTCATCATAAACACCACGGCCTTCTTGGTTTCTCTGACGTACACCTTGAACACCCAGAGGGCCAGCACATTACCCAGCAGGCCCGGCACTAAGATCACGCTGTACACCACTGTGTACACGTAGTGCTGGTACATCCGGAGGTCATCAGTCCTTTCACAGCTCTGGTTCATCTTAAGCCGATGGCTGTTTGTTTCTGTGCAGACGAGCCGCCTTGTGAACCGACAGGAAGCTCGTATCAGCAAAGCAGTTGAAGGTTCGCCGACGGGTGTGTTTGAGCGTCCCGTCCGTCCATTGTGGCGAGTGAGTGAAGTTGAAGCGTCCGTACGGTGCTGAGGAACCTTCAGCTCTATAGACCGCGTTCAATCCATAAAACGTTGTATCCTGGTGCAGCACAAGAGAAAGAGTCAACAGGATGATTTCACTGTGGCTGTAAAGTTTGTGCCTGAAAGCAGCACAGATAGCGGTCCACCATCCACCCCATCCCCCAGCACAGACAGACACCCACATGCAAACACATTTCCCCGGCATGTTATGTGATTAGTGCTGCTGCATTTACGATTATGCAAACCCACAGAGAAGTTGATACAACAGTCTCCCACGCAGTGTTCACTGTGAAGCATCTCCATCCTGCAGGGCAGCCAAAAATGAGCCTCTGTGAGCTGCTTCTGAACGAGGCCTGGGTGAAACTGGTGTGGTTAGCAAGTCATAGCGGGCCCGGGGGTTACCAGATCCACCACGAGCAAACGCCACTTTCAAATGAAGGCACCTTAAATTAGAGTTGGAACGGAAACACAGTGTCTCTGGAACCGAGCTTCCACCCATGACCCGGAGTTTCCTTTAACCCATATAAAATTGCACAATTTGTGCTGTGAAGATTCATCATTGTACTGTACAATTTTGTCTTTTCATTTTCTGATTGGAGTCAAACCAGTAACGATCAAAGAGCAAAAAGAGGAAGCAGAACTCGTCAGAGGAGTAGGCTACTGTTTTTAGTAGTGCAAGTGAAACGAAACAGACTACACAAGATGATGTGTTTTCAGCGTAAAACTGATTATTATTATCTATTATTATTTCTATTCTTTTTTCCACATAACACAAACAATAAAACAAAAAAAAAATGAAGTCACACCTGAAAGTACATGTAGGCAAATATTTCAACCAGAAATGTCAGTGGCATGATTTTGTTGTTTGGCTTTACTGTTTCTCTGCCGAGACAAAAATAAAAAATAGCAGTAGAGGGTGGTTGATATGTGCATATACAGGTAGACTTATCATACCCCAGAATTAGAATGCACCCTAAACAGTAGGCTACTGGGTTACAACTAAATCTTCTCCCTCCAGGAACTCCATAAGTTTCCTCCAAATCTTTGCAAAGATGTTATATTTCCCTTCAGCTACGTATGTTCCTCTATGGCGAGGCACTGAAGCAGTCCATCTATCCAATGTTGTTTGCTCGGCCTGCATTGCAATCTTATTTTAAGCATCAAGAAGATAAAATATGACCATCTTCTCTTTGCTATCGTTCACACTACAATTAGCTGGGAAACACCCAGTAAAAAACAGAGTTTGGGACATAATGGAAATTGTTGTTTGATACAGACAATACAATTGTAATAATCTCTTTTCAGAAATCTCAAATGAGGGTACATTCCCACAGGCAATGCGCTTTATGTATACCACATTTGACACAAGTACCCAGTGTTTTGTGGTACTTCAAGTCTGAACATCATGCTAGCCCTTTGTCACCTGAGGATTCTTTTGCTGCAGCTTTGAGATCAGACCAGCTGATCCACAATGGTTTAGAGATATAATTTCTGAAGAATTTGGAGAGTGTCTTTGTGATGAAGCTTCTATTCTAAAGATGCTTGAAAAAGTGTTTTGTATCCATGCTAAACGTTTGCTCCATCTCATTGAAAGAGTATGGGTTTCATAATCAGACAAATCTGAAATATGTCTGATACCTCTGTCTGCCCATGAGTTAAAACCAGGGTTGTTAGTATCTGGCGTAAAGTTTCTGTTTCCTTAGAAAGTGAGTGTTGGGATAGAGTTTTCTTTCCCCCAAGATACAGTGCATCCGGAAAGTATTCACAGCGCTTCACTTTTTTCACATTTTGTTATGTTACAGCCTTATTCCAATATTGATTAAATTCATTATTTTCCTCAACATTCTACACACAATAACCCATAATGACAAAGTGAATACTCTTTTTTGCAAATTTTTGCCATTCTGTTAAAAATAAAGAACGAAAACATCACATGTACATAAGTATTCACAGCCTTTGCTCAATACTTTGTTGAAGCACCTTTGGCAGCAATTACAGCCTCAAGTCTTCTTGGGTATGATTCCACAAGCGTGGCACACCTATTTATGGGCAGTTTCTCCCATTCTTCTTTGCAGAACCTCTCAAGTTCCATCAGGTTGGATGGGGAGCGTCGGTGCACAGCCATTTTCAGATCTCTCCAGAGATGTTCAATGGGGTTCAAGTCAGGGCTCTGGCTGGGCCACTCAAGGACATTCACGGAGTTGTGCCGAAGCCACTCCTTTGTTATCTTGGCTCTGTGCTTCGGGTCGTTGTCCTGTTGGAAGATGAACCGTCGGCCCAGTCTGAGGTCCAGAGTGCTTTGGAGCATGTTTTCATGAGGATGTCTTTGTACATTGCTGCATTCATCTTTCCCTCAATCCTGGCTAGTCTCCCAGTTCCTCCCGCTGAAAAACATCCCCACAGCATGATGCTGCCACCACCATGCTTCACTGTAGGGATGGTATTGGCCAGGTGATGAGCAGTGCCTGGTTTCCTCCAGACATCACGCTTGGTATTCAGGCCAAAGAGTTCAATCTTTGTTTCATTAGACCAGAGAATTTTGTTTCTCATGGTCTGAGTGTCCTCCAGGCGGCTGTCATGTGCTTTTTACTGAGGAGTGGCTTCCGTCTGGCCACTCTACCAAACAGGCCTGATTTGTGGAGGGCTGCAGAGATGGTTGTCCTTCTGGAAGGTTCTCCTCTCTTCATAGAACAACGCTGGAGCTCTGTCAGAATGACCATCGGGTTCCTGGTCACCTCCCCGACTAAGGCCCTTCTCCCCCGATCGCTCAGTCTGGCTGGGCGGCCAACTCTAGGAAGAGTCCTGGTGGTTCCAAACTTCTTCCATTTCCAGATGATGGAGGTCACTGTGCTCATTGGGACTTTCAATGCTGCAGAAATCGTTCTGTACCCTTCGCCAGATCTGTGCCTCGATACAATTCTTTCTCGGAGGTCTACAGATAATTCCTTGGACTTCATGGCTTGGTTTATGCTCTGATATGCACTCTCAACTGTGATACCTTGTATAGACAGGTGTGTGCCTTTCTCAATCATGTCCACTCAATTGAATTTGGCACAGGTGGACTCCAATCAAGTTGTAGAAACATCTCAAGGATGATCAGTGGAAACAGGATGCACCCGAGCTAAATTTTGAGTGTCATGGCAAAGGCTGTGAATACTTATGTACATGTTTTTGTTCTTTATTTTTAACAGATTTTTGAAAAATGTGCAAAAAACAGTTTTCACTTTGTCATTATGGGTTGTTGTGTGTAGAATGTTGAGGAAAATAATAAAATGAATCCATTTTGGAATAAGGCTGTAACATAACAAAATGTGGAAAAAGTGAAGCGCTGTGAATACTTTCCGGATGCACTGTAACTTAACACCTCATGTCAAGTTTTTAATAAAGCAGTTTGCAGTGTGTTTCTTCAAACTAAGGTAGTTAAGTTTGCTGAGTAAAGGTACAGAAATGGGGGGATTTTGGAAGTTGTGGTTTCTTCCATCCTCATCCAGTGCAGGTTGAGTGGTGTTCAAACCAACACGAGGCAGCTTGTAGTTGTAGTTGTAGCAGCCCAATAGTGTCTCTGAAGGTAGGAGAGTGAACCCGCCTATCGTCTATCGTTCCAAATGTAATTACGAAAAAAGCTGTTTCATTTTAGTAAAGATATCAGGAGGAACGTGTGGGATGGTTTGAAAAAGGTACTGAAATTTAGGAAAAATATTTATCTTCAGCAGATTAACAAAGATTTCCCTCTATTAATAGATTCAAAGACCTACTCAGTCACAGACTGGAAAGTCAGCAAACTGAGCTTCCTTGCAACCAATTTTTTATTCATGCCCTTGTGATAAATTGAATAGTGACCTTCAAAATAAACCGACAAACGGAAGAAATAACAACAAGGGCCTCTCCCAATTGAGGCCCCATAGCTAGGCCTAGTCTACACCCTGTGCGGATAAACACGCACGTCTCCTCAGCCAAAGTTCTCTGATCTTCGGTACTCTTCATGTGAGGATCCTTGCTATGTTTCACGATGGGTCACGATTGCAGAGGTATGCTTCCCAGCCTGTAGGCTTGTTTCGATGGCTACCGGTTGTTCTGCTCCTATGTTAAGAGCTTTATGCAGCCATGCCGTTAAGAATGGACACGCATCTCCGCTCCGCGTTCCCTCGGGACATCCAACCAGTCTGAGATTGGAGCGACATTGCAGGTTTTCCGTCTCTTCCATCTGTGAGGCGAGTTTGTGGACTCTCTTCCAAGTGGTGTCAGTTTGTCTGCTCTGGTCTTCTGCAGTGTTAATGCAAGTTACTGCTTCCGTGGGACTTTCAGAAAATATTCTAAAGCTTCCTTTACCTCTCGGTTAGAGGAAATGACTTCATATAACTTAGTGGAAAAATTGTCCCTCGTGGATTGTATAGCGCAGTGTAGTGCAGAAGTGGAGGACTTTGTGGATTGGGCCGGTAGAAATCACCTAACTGAATGTGACCAAGACCAACGAGATGGTGGTGGACTTCAGCAGGATGTGGACATAGTGGAGGAGTACAAGTATTCATCGACATTTAACTGAACTGGAAGGCCAACATCCACGCTGTGTAGAAGAAGGTCTGCAGCTGGTGAAGAAGACCAGCTCTATCATTGGCTGCCAACAGGAGCCTCCAGAACAAGTGGTGGAGTTGTCCATATTCCACATCCCAGACAACCCTCTTCACCACCAACAGCGGCGCATCTTCTCCGACAGGCTGATCTAGCTCCGCTGTCACATGGACTTTTACAGGAAATAATTGCTGCCAGATGCAATGAGACTGTACAAATAGATCAGCTTTCACTAAATAATTGTTCAATTGAATAACCAGTTCACTACTGTCTTAATTTAACATCAATAACATTGCACTACTGATTTGATTAAATGTTACACGTATTCCACCCCGCTGTACATACTTCTGTTTCACTTTCATTTTAATTTAATGTAATATTTCCTTCTCTTTATTGTACTATACTCTATTGTACTGTGTATTTATCATTGCAATTATTGCTACTATTACACACAAGTTTGCCATTGGGTATTAATAAAGTATATATATATATATATATATATATATATCTTTCGATAGTGGGCCCCCAGTCATACCTTCCACCTTACTGACGTTTAGACCCCTGTTTAAGTGCTTCAATGTGATTGTTTTCTCTTTCATTTCCCCGTCTCCCTGTACGACACACCTCTCTCTGATCTTGTTTGCTTATAGCAGTGGCGTGACATGCACAATGATGACCTATCAAGAGCCTTATGTGATGTCTATAGAAATATAGACATCACTATACGTCATCTTGTTGCAACATCATTATATGTCTTGCTAATATTAGAGCATGTAAAATGTCTGTGTTTCTAAAGCAAGCTGTATCCTTTCCTTTAGCAGTTCTACACTTCAAATATCGCCAGTGGAAACTTAATACTTTGAATGCAGTGATTCATCCCTAAGTGGGTGTTTGCGCCCCACGTCTTTTTCCGTTCAGAAACGATATCTTGCCTCGTGTAACAGCACCCAAAATGTGGTTGGCCAGGACCAAGGTCCCTCCACGTGTGCCGTGCCAACACACAAAACAAGTCATGATCCCCATCCCACTGAACGGAGGAACACCGGGACGCTGGCCCACACTCACACACACTCCCACCCTCGACATAACAGACATTCCTCATGCTGGAGAAACATGCGAGGTCCCCCATGAGGCATGACTCCACTCCAAAGGTATCCAGCTGTTAGAGGCTTTCATACAAAAGCTTCAACTCAGTCTTAAAAGAAGAGAAAAAAATCAAGATCTTACCTTTACTTTCTCCAAGATTGAGGCTGCGCCAGAGGGTCGGAGGCTGAAGCATCAGTCGACGACACGTGCCATCCTCCCCATCCTCTCCCCCCTAACACACTTCACTTGCCTCGTCCCGGCCTCTCTCTTCTCTCGCTTCCTTTCCAGTTATTCTTCTCTTTTTCTTCTCTTATTAGAATTGTCTTTGTTAATTCCTCACCGATTTCTATTCCGTCTCTGTCTCTGCTGTACTGAGGGCTCCGCCGCACACAGGGCTTCCTGTGAGGTTGAGAGAGGGTGTGGTTTACAAGAATGTTTGACAGCATGACTTCTGCTATCATAGTAACTCCCCCCCTCCGCCACGTGGGCCCCTTAATGATGAACCCTGTATGTGTGTAATGTCTCAAGAGTAAAGACTGAAAGGAGAAACAGGAATTTATTTTGGTGGGGGGGGGGGTCGCTTCCTCACACAAGTACTCTCAAGTACACTGACACAAGTATAGATACTATGGTTAAGAAGACTGTAGAAGTTGAAGTATGAACTCAAGCATTTACTTAAGTATCAAAGTTCTGGTTGTAACTTTCCCATTGATTAGGTGGGGGGGGGCACTAAACTGTCTGCAATCGGTTATCAAAACATTAGCCAAATAACCCTTTTTTTCAGGCTTTATGAGCAAATACAGAATCCCCTTGTGTTCATTTCTAAAGCCTCGCATTAAAACACATGTCACTTTATTTAAGACGCTACTTGCAAGTTGCTGTGTTGTGCCAGATTCGTAATAAAGTTAGAAAAAACATTTATAGCAAACCCATGGTCATGAAGATATTCATTTTACGTTACATAGTATTTGCATGGCGCTAAATACCCAACCGAACATTAGCACCTGCCGTTCTGACAAAGGAACCTTCCACCGACCTCTTTTAGCACTCGGCCCTACTGGCTGCATGAGGAGGAGGAGGCGGGTCCATACCCAACTGAGATCAGCTTGTGCCGTTCTGACAAAAGACCCTACCACCGACCACCCAACCCACCGTTCTGACAAAAGACCCTACCACCGACCACCCAACCCACCGTTCTGACAAAGGAACCGATCGCTCATAGATATATCAATGCTACTACAGACCACTTTTCGCACCCACTGTCCCCCTCCCTCCATGATTTTGGAATAAAAACAATATGAGGTCTGGATGGTAAATGTTTATACTTCTCATTCAACCACAAATACATTCACTGCCAATGCCTGAGATTGGCGGAGGGCGCGATCTACCTGTATAGTCTTGTGTGTGTGTGTGTGTGTGTGTTTTTTTGAACCATGATGATTTCATCAAAATGAAATAGGAGTAACAAGGCTATTTTAAATTAAAATGTAAGGAGTAGATATTTGTGTGAAAAATTTAAGGACACACCTCTGCTTATGCAGAGTACTTTCAATAACTAAATAGCAGATGGCATTACAAGATCACGGCAGCCAAGGGATGCAAAGTGGGTGAATAAAGACAACAGCAGTCCTTCCCTCGGGTGACTGCGTACTTCTGGCTGTACGGAGGGGGGTGGGGGGATTGAGTAGATGTAAGAACCAATCTCAGGCATTGGCAGTTACCGGTTTGTCAAAGTACCGCAGCAGCCACCAACTGTCTCAGCACTTGTCGTTGCTAAAGGAAGTGGAGCCGAAATGAGTCAACACCTGTTTTTGCTTAAAGGAAGCGCCATATCAAGCTGCACACACACAGCGCTTTTATTTACACAACATTAACACTCATTTGCATACACATTCATGATACATAGCGTTTCTCAACAGGCTGCAGCTTGTATACATACAGATACACATAAACACAAGGCTGCTGTGATGACACACCCACCCAACGCACGTCATCTGAAAGCAGCGCGGTCAGGACAGTGTGAGAGACTCTTCAGATTGAGGTCAAAGCTCTTCGGTGTTAGTTTGTGGTCGTCTCGCTGTCCCACTTGATATCTGGTCAGTTGTTTTTTCAGTCTCACTGTCTCACGCTAACATTTGTGTCATTTGTTGGCGGGAAAACAAATGCACCTGTGGAATAGAGACCCTCTGATGAGCAGGTACTCTCCTTGCTCATCAGTTTGGCCGGCTCGGGCCGCTGGGTCGGGGAGCTGATCGGGGAGGAGAGGAGCGCCCCGGAGAAGGAGGAGGTGCGCCTGGTGAGGTGCAGCCTGAACTCGGCATTCAGGAAGTAATAGAGCAGAGGGTTGAGGCAGCAGCTCAGGCTGGCCAGGCACAGGGACACCGGGTGGAATTGACGCACCGCCAGATTGGTTGCGCAGTGGGACACGATGTTCTGCGACACCATCAGGTAGAGCAGGAAGTTGATGTGGTAGGGGGCGAAGCAGATCAGGAACAGGGCAGAGCAGCTGAGCACCATTCGCAGAGCGCGCCGCTTCTCGGCGTTCGTCTGCCTCTCCGGGAGTCTGTCCTTCGGACAGCTGCTGCTGACTGACTGGAGTCGGCTGCGCGTTGAGGAGTCGGGCTCATTCCGGCCCCGTGTTGGGCCGAGAGAGCGTGCGATGCGGATGGAGCTGTAACTGATGCAGGCCAAAGGGATGATGAAACCAAACAGCTCAGCAAGGACCATCATGGTGATCGCCAGAGAGACTGGCAGGTGACGCATTGGCAGGTCCTTAAAACAGCCAGGACCGGAGACCGTGCCGGGGCTCGCACTCGAATGTGGCGCGTAAAGCTGGGCGTGACCCGGGGGGTGCTGTCCGCCCTCACCGGGACTGGTGGAGCTGCTGTTGCTCCGCATGAGAATGAAAGGCGAGCAGGCCAGGCTGACCACCCCCCACACGATGACGCTGATTGCCAGGTCGTAGCGCCGCCTCCACCGTCGTGCGCAGAATGGGTGAAGCAGGAAGATGCACCTCTGCGCGCTGATACACACCTGGAGAAAAAAAACATAGTGACATGAAATCGTTTTTAATTTCGAGCCAAATTAAGTCCATTTGTTCAAGGACTGAAGGAGAAGGGACGGAGACTCAAATGACCTCCTGACATTTGGCTCCCTTTACAAGTACAAGTGGCTGAGCTGCCATTTGACTTCCCTCCCTCCTTTGACATTCTTTGCAGTATTCCAGGATCATTTTCAGCATGGACCCTTGCTCACCAGGAACACTATGGCGGCGTACATGTTGAGGTACTTGAGGTAGAAGCAGAACAAGCAGACACCTCTTCCGAACGGCCAGGTGTGTGTGAAGTAATAATAAATCCTGAGGGGCAGAGAGAGGATGTGGGCCAGGTCCGCTAAAGCCAGGTTAATCATGAAGATCACCGCCTTGCTCTTCTTACTGCGGGATGACATGCAGAAGAGTTAGCCTTGGTCCAGGACACGTCCAATGCTTTATACCCGCGTCTTTGGTGTGTGTGTGGGGGGGGGGGGGGGTACCTAATGTGTCTGCAGAGGACCCAGAGGGCCGTGGTGTTGAGCAGCAGCCCGGGGATGAAGAGCAGCAAGTAGAAGTAGGTGTACATCTTGTCCATGCGTTGCTCCCAACTGCTCATGTTGCTGCCACATCCGAAGGACGAGTTGAGCAGGGACGAGTTGAGCAGGGACTCCTCCCGTGCTCCGGACATTTCCGCTCTCAGGCTGACGCTCGTGGCCTAACTCAAACTCATCTCGTCACTCACACTGAATCACCTGCAATGGGGAAACGAGAGCTTACAGTTTGTGCAGTTAATAAAGTCACATTCAGAGGAAGAGCCAATTTATTGAGAGTATTTTCTTAATAAGAGGGCCCTCATCAAGACTCGTCATAACGAGTGGCTAGTTGACATGATTTAATAATATGTTTTAGATCTCTTAGATCTAAGATGTTATTCAGGACAGCGCTTGGTTTGCCAGGTTATGAATGAAACTCAAATAAGTAGCGGTTCTAGAGCGTTTGCTTACACCACATCTCCTCAGCCGGTGAAGTTTGTCAAGTTGTCATGGAATTACATTCAATTGACTGTTGTACCACTTACATTCTGAAAAAACAAAAGGGCATCTGAACCTCAATTTTTCTTTTAAAACCACTGAATAAAATACTGTAATAATTCCAGCAAAGGATCGTGTTATTTGATTACGGTAATCGGCTGTATTAATTTGAAAAAGTAGCCAGTCCTTTTAGTTTTACAGTGACAGGCTTGTTAGTGACAGGCTAGCAGTAACAGGCTTGGATTGAAGTATAAAAACATTTTCTTTTGCTGGATGCCCAAATTAAATCAGAGGAGACTTTATCTGGCCAAATATTGCAGCAGGAAACACAGTCTGCTTATCACTCATGCATCGCCATAAAGACGAGACCTCACCCTTCCTCTGCCAGTCACAGCGCGGGAGCAGAGAATCGTTCTTGATGCCTTACTATTCACCAGTTGAGGCTGGTTGGTCTACCGCACTCAGACAGACAGAACCAAACCTGTATTTAGGGAAGTGGGGTCCCATGTGTGAAGCAGGTTACACTGGCACATTTGATCCGTTTATTTTCCCTTAAGAGCCCAAAACAATGGAATTGTTAAAAAACCCATTTCATTTTAACTGTGCAATGAAGATGAAATGTATTATACGATGCATTTTGATTGAATGCAGGATGAGTATAAAGAGGATATACTAACAATCCTTTAGTCCATCAGCAGAAATTAGCAGAAATGTGAAGCATGACTTTGACCACAAATATTCAGACAAAGCACAGACACGATCTCCCTCATCCTTACCTTGTCCGTTATCCCCTAGGCGTGGACGGAGGGGGGAGGTCAGAGGCTGGAGTAGCCGCCGGAGACTACATGTTCCTGCAGTTCCACAGCAGACTGATGCACACGCTCAAACACTCCTCCCCGACAGCAAACCTCCTCTGGAGCAGCAGAGACTTGTCGGCTTGTGCTTGTGAGCGAGTCTGCAATAAAAACCTTGCAAGTGATTGTAGTTTCTGTTTAACTGTCTTTGTACCAGTCGATGGCGTCCGGTGTAGAAAGTTTCTCAAGCATGGTGACAACTGGAAGGGGAAGCACTGGCTTGAATGTTTTTTTTCGCCGTTTATGACGTCACTCGGCTCCTAGCAACCAAAAAGGTAACGCGGGCTTGTGCAGACAAGAGTGTGAGGAAACCAAATTACAGCACGCACTTGAGACACCGATCTAAAAGATTAACAACAGGGGGAACGGGGGTGGAGAGGTGGCATTTTGAATGTGGTTAGAGGTCACAGTTTGAGCCCGAACCTCTGGTTTATGCCACTAGGCTATATCAGTAATTGCAATTGCATTGCAGCATTTGCATTCTTCCATTTTTGGGGATAAAAATACTGTAGTCCAGTTCCCCTATTAGTTGATGCACTTCCTTCTTCAAGGCTGTTTATCATTTTACAGATATTTTGTGGCGTGTGTACTGTACATGACTTTGTGTTTTAGTCTTTGATTCGATCACTTCTTGGGATGACGACAACAAGGAGCAGCTTTGAGGCTTTTGTTACACGGTTTCAGTTGTGTGGCGTCTAAAATCATATTTTCAAGTGTCTCCAAAATGCAAAACCAAAAGTCAAACAAAATGCCTGCAGGTGCATCCGTCCTGTTGGTTTGACAATAGTCACACTCAAAGAAAAATAACTTGGTGACAGGTTCTCAGCCACCCGCATGCAGCTCCAGTGTGGTTTCTCACACAAACGCACACCCACACCCTTCAATGTAGAGCAGCTAAGTGCATAATCAGCACATATGCTGAGGGCACCACATGGCAGTCAACCATCAGCGAGTGGGTGCGGATGTCTTCTCTCGGTTCTGACTTATGGCCACTAGAGGTCAGAGCAGACCAACTCTCGCAGTTCTGTTTTGTCAAGAGGGCAGATTGCCCCATTTAAAAAGGGCACGTTTAGTGTCGTCCGCTGCAATATTTGGAACATTCTTGACATGAACCACTCACGGGTCAAAGGGCACTTTTTGTATATTTCTTTCAGAAACTCCCACTTCTTATTTCCTGCTCTGTGCTACCTCTTTCCACTTATCCTCCTCCTCTCTGCTACCCTTGACCCAAATCCCAGACAAGTCCGTCGTCTGTTGGGGCTCTGTCTCCGCTGCTGGATGCACATGGTCACACTATCAGAGAGGCCCACTAGAATATCTCTCTCGCCCTCTCTCTCTCTCGACATCACCAAGTAAGGCCATGAATCTCTTCTGCATGGCTCTATGAGAGTAGCTTGTGCTGACGTCTTGTATAATGTCCCACACAGAAATGTGTCCCCCTCTCTAGCAGCATCCTGTTGTATGCACAAAGAAACATGTAGGCGACCCAGCCTCTACCAGTCCTCGCAGTCACAAGCCGGCCCTGAAACACAGTGTGGATCTTTCCCCGTCTTCCTGCTGTAAGTGTAGAGTTAAAGATGGAACAAAAGCTCTCCAATCTATCTATCTAGCTAGCTAGCTAACAGTCTTTAGTTGTGTGCTGCACAATCACATACTCAAGACATTTTGGATAATGGTATTCCCCAAATGCACCAAAACCTCATGCAGCAAACTCCTGAAACTGCTGACATCACTGTCTTGCTGTACGTGCAGCGTAACACAATGATTTGGGGCGTTTGGTCAACAGTGTTTGCCCGTACTTTACTGCGCATAAGAGACTGAGCCGATCGGCAGTGTAAAGCCAGATTAAGACAGAGAGCCCTCATTCAGAAGCAAACAATGGACTATTGCTCCAGTCATAATAAGCATTTGGCCAGTGACACGGCACACGGGCCAAGGTCCTCGACTGGATCAGAGCTGAACTCTGCTCCAATAAGATCACTCCTTCATGAGTTCAAACAATGACACACTGAAGAAGACCAAGTTCGGGTTAGTTTGGCAAAACCAACGGGAGCGAGGCGGCGGGTGGGTTAGGGACGGTTGGGGGAGATAATAATAAATGTATCCACGTTAGCAATTCAAAACATTCATTTAATGGCCTCAAACGTCAACATGAGACACATTTTACTCCTATGTTATTACAGCGGCGTGTCTCGCCGCTCTAACAAGTGACATAGCATTACGGTCTAACATAATATAATGTGCTGTGACAGCTTGAACGCAACAACAATACAACTTAAGGGCTCAGCGTGTTACAAAAGTACTTAACAGCGTATTCCAACAATGCGGATAGAAATATCCGCCCTACCAATGATCCAGTGCAGTTGTGAGTGTTTGTGTGTTAAGCCTGAGAGATGATGTGCTGCAGTCTCTTTTAGAGTCTCTGGACAATAGTCTCGGTGTGGCTGGGTCTCTGATCGCCGTAGTGTTCTCTCATAATAAACACATACAGATACATTCCTCTGCTCTTGAATGGTGGATTAATCCGTAAAGCCCGGGCCATATCTCAGGGTTTACCTCAGGACTTAACTAATCTGCTGAGTTATGTTTTTGTCACTTCCAGGAACAAACAGCGGATTACTTTTTTTTGATTCAGGGCTTGCGCCGCACCAACACTGTCTTTTTTTCACTTTCCTTCTTCAGAGCTGACTCTCAGACGTCTTTGACTCCTTCCCGTTGCTGGCCGGGTTGTGCGTGTCCCCGGGGAGAGTGTTTGCCACGTCCTGGGTCTCGGTGTCGCTGCGGGGCAAGCTCTCGGGCCGAGAGCCCGACCCTCTGCCTCCCATGGTCAGGCTCTTCTGGAAGCTCTCTGAGGTGAAGTAGTAGACCACAGGGTCCAGGCAGCAGTTGAGGCAGGCCAGGCACAGAGTGATGGGGTAAAGAGTTCGGGCAAAGCGCTCCACAGAGCAGTTAGCCAGGGCCTGGGTCCGCACCAGGGCATACAGGAAGAGGATAGAGTTATAGGGAACGAAGCAGATGATGAAGATGCCCAGATGGACCAAAATCATCCGCAGGACACGTTTCTTGCTGTTACAGCCGTGACCAACGGTCATCGGTCGCCGCAGCGTCCGCAGAACAAGCGAGGAGCACACCAAGTTGGCCAGGAGGGGAAGAAGGAAGCCCACAATCTAGGAGTTAGATCACAAGCAGAGAAAAGCTTCACAAAAAGACAGTGTATGAATGGCATGTTCCTATGTTTGACTGTCCGGGCCTCTCTCTCCTCACTCACCTCGATGAAGATGGTGATTTTGGACAAGTAGGTCCTCCAGGTGTTTTTGGAGAAGCCCTCAAAGCATGAGGTGACGCTGTGTTTGCTGTTGATTGTGGAGAAGAAGGTCACCGATATTCCTCCCCCTACGATGGTCAGCCACACGGCGGCACACACCAGCGCCGCGTTCCTGCGCGTGCGGATGGAGCGGGAGCGGAAAGGGTAGACTATCGCCAGAAAGCGGTCCACGCTGATGCAGGTGAGAAAGAGCATGCTGCCGTAAATGTTGGTAATGAAGGCGGTCCCGGACACCTTACACAGTCCATCACCAAACGGCCAGTTGCGGTTAACATTGTAGAAGACCTTGAACGGCAGCGTAAAGACAAATACCAAGTCGGACAGCGCTAAATTAGTCATAAACATTGTGGTCTCATTGCTCATCTTCATCCGGAAGCAGAACACAAAGAGAGCGGCGCAGTTGGTGATTAAGCCTAAGACGAAGACCACGCTGTACACCACCGAGTACAAGTTGTACTTGAAGGAGTCGTCAATGCCGCAGTCTTCCATTCCGGTCTCGTTGATCACCAGGCTGGCCATAGCGGCGGCTTCAACAGGGCCGTGGGGCACCACAGAAAATGCGTACGCCAAAGCCGGATAAGGGCTGTCAAGGCGGATGTCTGGGGGCCGGAGGTGTCAGCAGGGGCTCCACCGGTCGAGTCTCCTCAAAGTCATCGTGGAGGTTCAGACAGCGAGGCCTCAGGATGCGTGAACAAGCCGGTCAGTCATCCTGTGGAGAGAGAAGGAAAGACACGCGGTCACTTCCTCACTATAAAAGTTACAGACAAAGAAGGAAAAACAACTGGTACGCCTCCAACCATCACCCCAAGACGGCCAGGATGTTCTAGGTTTTTAATTGTATAGAAGACACACACACCTATTTAATGTTATCCCAGTATAGATTTTAAGAATTGTTTCCATATATGAGCCAGAGTTGAAGGATATTTTCTATTAAGACTTCTGGCCGATGCAAAACCCCCAATATATACTGAAATTGCTTGCTGAATTGACTTTATGACTCAAGTCAATCTGACAGTGTTGGCCTAGCTGTAACATTGGGTGGGTTTGCATGTTTGTCAGTGCGTGTATGGCTTTATACCATTGACCTGTATAAATAAAGTCCCACACACTCACATGGTTGTGTGGCACGCAGCACTCCATCAGCACAGCGAGAAGTAAATGCCTCCTCGTGGGTAGATGAGGTTAAAACACATCTGCATTCATTCACAAGCCCCATGTCAGAGAGCCCGGAGGCAAAAACAGAAGTATCCAAGGCCGAGCTACAACTGGAGGAAGTGGACAAGTCAGCATGGAGCCTTGGTACAAAAGCTGTGCACCGCTGCTCCCACCGTTGCTGCCATGGCACACAATAGTTTGGATGTCAAACGTGAACAATTGAGAGAAAATTTTTTTTTTTTCTAGACTACTTTTTCTAGACTACTCTACTTGAAGCAAAAATATTTGTGGGGGCGTGTGACGACACCACAGGAAATAGGGTTGAAGGGAATGTCTTGAGTTTGTTACCTCAATCACAGCGTAAACCTACAAATCAACTTAATTTCCCTTTGAGTGGAGGTGATGACCGAAGAGTTATGGTACAATCACCAATTCTTCATAACTCAAGTAATCTGTATTTTTCTTATTTGTTCACCAGTCAATTCTTTAGAATTTGTCAACTTGAATAAGAGATATATACTACGCCAACCAAAAAAAACTTCCATATGTTGTTCACTGCACTGCCTGCTAACCCGGCTGGGACCCTCTAATGAGACTCAATCCCGTTACCTCATTGGGGGGTGTTGGTTCCAGCGTTTACGAAGGTTGACCCGTACTACGGACAAAGAAACGTGATTCTGACCACTCTTCTATCTTTCCTCCAACTTTATGCAAAGTGCCGTTCTTAACCGTGCTGAACTGGCTCAATCTTGTGATACGTAACGGAGACGGGGCAGCCAAGAGGTGGTCGGCCTCTTTGCCTCCAGGGTGAAATATTTAGAAAAATCCAACAGTGTCTCAACAGTTAGTCGTATTTCTCTTTTTCACTTCAAACACACACACACACACACACACCTACGTACGTACGTACACACAAAGGCAGCGCTGTGAGTGTGAGCGGTCCATCAGGCCTGTCCCGTGCCAGCTGCAGCGGGACATCTTTACAGCGTTTTTACACGCCTCCTCAGAAAAGCCCCGGCCGGCCCCTATCTCACAATACCCTTACTGTACCCGTGTGCACCAGACCCACGCACACACAATTACATATGCACAAGTCTCCACACGCGCACACACAACCCCTACATGTGCCCGTCTACACGCACGCACACAGACACACATGCGTAGCGCTCTGTGTTCTGTGGCTCTATCCCAGGACCTCTTACAGTGCCAGCTTCAGATTCAGCTGATGTCGTTTCTGCAGGGACCCGAGTCTATAGATGATTGAATTTGGCTTAAATGTAAGGAAACAAGAACCACATCCACATATTTAACGCATGTTATGGATTTCTAGGAGTCCCACTGGGGAAGTGGGGAGGGGGGGGGGGGGGGTGTCAGATGTGGATTCCCACGTACAAGTCCAAAGGACAGCTGCGCATTTAAAAGCTCCCCCCGCCGTCCCCCGCAGGCGTCCGTGGCAGGAACAGGCCTCTGGGACCCGCTGATGGGATCGGATCGAGTTCAGGCTCAGCTCACATCCAGCTGTTCTTTTCTCTCACACGCCAAGAGGATGGAGGCAGGGAGGGTTGAAGGTGGAGGACAACCAGGCGAGCGGTGTTGAAACGAACATTTTCCCTTCCAGCCAGTAGGGCTGATAGAGCTACACAGAGAGTGTTTTTAATCAGAAAAGGTATTGTTCAAAGTTACATCACACTCAACCAATATCATGAATATGCTGTATTCTTTATTTAAGGTTTTAAGGTTATTCCTAAAAAGGAAAAAAATGAAACCAGGACCGTGAGAAAAAAGTGCTGGCTGGATCGGGTTTTAGTCATCACCTGAGACTTGAGGCCAGCTGTAATTCAAAGTGGCGAGCACTTAAACAATAAATAGTCTTTATGCTTTGACGATTTCTATTATTTCAAGCAAATGTATACTTTGGAAGCCCATATTTCACTTCACTACAGTAATTTGTCTACATACTTAGCGGGTTCAGATAACTTAAATCTATATAAATGAACACATTATTATACGTTATTGATTTGGATCAAGCTACTAAGCAGTACATTAAGTAGCCGAAATTAGCTTCACCACATTAATGCATTACAGGTATATTCTATGAGTTTTCAGCATTTTGTACATAAAGGCTGTATATATTTATGTTGAAAGCGTGCACTTCTTACCCTAACACTTGAATGCAATTACTTTACTTTGGCCTTTCTCATTTGACTTCTTCCACTATGGTGCATGATTTATGGGGAATTTGCATGGGACAACAAAGCTGTTGTTCCGTTACTCTGAACACATTAAGGTTAAATAAGACTTTAAGACACACATTAAATCTCCCATTCACACGTTTAACGGTCAAGTCGTAGCAAAACAAAGTGCAGTCCTTCAAGGGGCGCTGTGGTAAATTGCATTAGCCAGTACTGAAGAATCGTGCGTGTCTCAGTTCAACGCCTTGTTGTTACACTTGCAGCCGCATCTTGTCCGCTATAATTCGGTTATACGCGACGTGGAAAGCAGCCGCTCGTTATTTTTTATTTTATTTTACACAAAAAAACGTTTTTTTGTTGTGGTTATTTTTTAACTCCAACCAAACCCCCCAAAACGAGCAGTGACCGCGTGCAGACGAAGCGGACTCACGGGCAGCTGAAGGGATGACAGCTCGCCTCCTGCTCTCTGATGTCCGCCAGCTGTCACAAGAAGGACGCCACACTTGGTACTTGTTGTCCCTCCACGATGTATCCGTCTGCTCGCCTCGACGTTTCCCCAATAAAGTGCACAGGCAAAATCACGGGGGCCCCCGTTTTTTTTTGTTTTTTTTTAAAGCGAGCCGAAAACGCTGCGGGCGAGAGTTTCCTCAATTAATCCCGACGGCCCGCTCCGTCCGTCCGACAGCAGTGTGTGGAGGGGAGTCGCGGGTCGAGGGGGATCGAGGGGGGGCGGGCCGCCTCGCATCCAGCGCGCCTGCTCGCCCGGGAAGGCAACAGGAAGCGAGACAATGGCAGAACAGGAGGGGGGGTGTCGAGGGGGAGACATGGGGCCGCTGTCATCAGCTCAACGTTCATTAGGACGTGAAACGCACTTTTATATTAAACGCTTCAGCTGTTTCAACGGGACGCCGCATTGGTGGTTTCAGTTGTGTCGGTGAGTAAATTGAATAAAGTTGCTCCAGAGACACTTGAGGTAACTTTCTCTTTTTGGCTGTAACACTTGCTGTGTGTTTAACACACAGTGAACATAATAACAACGGGCTCAGAGATGCACGGGGCGACGGACACACGGAGGAAAGTAGGGGTCTTGTTTTATTTGTGTGGGCGTGGCGCTCCCTTTTCTCCGCGCGCACACCTGTCCGCAATCAGCTAATTGTCCCAGCAGAACGCGTATCCGCGCGTGACGACCACGCTGCGTCATCCGACGGGGAGCCCGTTTCCTGCGCTCCAGGGTTCCGGTTTGCCCTCGTGCTGCCTCACAATACACGCGAAACGTGTAAATGCTCCTTACACAATAACTCAAGTAAAGGATCGCATACTTTCTATGGGTTAATGAACTCTTTTTAAACAACTAAAATAGTTTATATTTAGATTAAGTGCTTATTTATGCAAACGAATAGTCGAACTTCCCATGGTGAGAGAATGTCATTACAAATGACTTGCATCAGGCCATTGGTGCGGAATCTGGAACTGTATATAAATTGAACATGGGGATGAAATCTTGCATCGACCAGATATTTTGTTAACCTCTATATGTGTGATGAGCACAGTGGGATTTTTGTCTGATCAAAGCCCTGCTATACCATTGTTACAATTCAATCTGCTGGTCTGAGGCTACCAAAAGAGTTATTTTTAGCCAGGTGACAGGGCGTGTTGGACAGGTTCCTATTGTCTTCAGGCTGGCATGGGGCTGTGTGTGTGTGTGTGTGTGTGTGTGTGTGTGTGTGTGTGTGTGTGTGTGTGTGTGTGTGTGTGTGTGTGTGAGAGAGGTACTTGACAGGGAGGAAGTGGTCTTTGGGGGTAGCGTCTGGCAGGCTGACCACTCCAGAATAGCAGCAGGGAGGACAGGACATCCTGCTTACTGTGCACACACACACACACACACACACACACACACACACACACACACACAAACACACACAGCCACACGGCCCATTACACACCGCCAGATGTCTTTCACCTCTGGATTCTTTGTGTACATGTGTTTAAAGAAGTCACACGCCGTGATGAAAACATATTGCTCTAAACATGTTTCACAACACGATGCTGCACTTTCCTTCTTTCATCAGCTTATTGCTTTTAAAGTCATTTTAAAATATTTTCCTCTTACTTGAAAACAGTGAGTTGGGTAGAAAAAACTAAATTCATATTAATGTACTCTCCTATTACATCATAGGATAAGCTTGGATAAGGCAATATTTTCATGTCACCCCCTATTAGCTATTCATTCCATATCCAAATATCTGTCTTTTTCAACAATTCTTGTCAAATTGTATTTCAAAGCCCCCTTCCCTGTCTCCTTGTCTTCCATGTCCCTGGCCTCTGTGTGTGAGTGTGTGTCTTGCCATCAGTCTTCTGTCTCATCTGACTGACAACTCAAACACCTGAACGATGGAAGTGTTTGTTCAAGTTACTTGGTGTTTTATCCCGGTTGGTTGCTAATTAATTCTTCTCTTTGTGCTATAAAATATCTGCTTTGACAGACTCTTGACCGCCCACCTCCCTTAACCCCAGATTCCCCTCCTCACGTACATCCTCATCCAATGCAACTTGACAACGCACCTCCAGTTATCATTCCACACCTGAAATCTGTGCCCTGCCTCCCATCCGTTAACAAAGACACCTTGGAAAACGAGTATTGATCAATCTTTTGTATTGTCTTCACATTATTATAAAATTGTCTCTCATGACAACCATTTTTGGGGCAGTTCTTGAAATGACGGTATGGTGAAACAACTCCCCAAAACAAATACTGTATTTTTTTACTTTAAAATACTGTATTTTTTTACTTTAAAATACTGTATTTTTCTATTTACTTTTGTCTCTTTTGGCCCAAATCTTCCTGTTTAATTAAAGGCCAGCTTCCACAGGGAATGATGGTACAGTTAAATGTTGTTCAACTCCTACACAACCTGGTCAGACAAGCTGATTGTGCAACAGCGCGATGCAGGTCGCCCATGTTGTGCCGGCGGTCAAAGCTGCCAACGTGGTGCCGAAGAAACAAAAGGTAGCAAAGGCGTGGGAGCGGATGCCGTGTTGAAGAGTCACAACTGGATGAACCTAGAAGACATGTAGGTTTTGATTGGGTCGCGGAAACACAGACACACTCCTCCCTCCTTATTCTCTGGGTTTGGTAACGGTAACCAAGCTGTGCAGCCTCTGCCGAGGCTTTGGGAGTCACACCAACCAGAACAAAGACTCCATTACTGCAACCTTTCTCTCCCTCTCACCCCCTCCTTCCATCAACTCTCTTCCTTGACCCCTCTGTCCTGCTCTACTTTAATGCGATGATGAGTGTTTCCTTTGCTCTCCTTCCCTCGCCTGCGTCCATCCTCTCATTCATTGGCTCCAGCAGGCTTTCGGGGGGCAGCCCCGTCGTTCCACACATACCTCTGCCCTGACAACAAAGCCGGACAAAAGGCAGCAAAGCAGTAAAACACAGGAGTCCGGAGCTCCGTCGGTTTTATGGATTGATATTAACACGACTGCGGCGGAGTGTCCTAACTGTCTGTGTGTCCGTCCACACCTGACCTTGGACCCCGTGAGCCAGCGCCGACCTATTTAGAGACCAGCTCCTCTGCAGCAGAGCGGCGCCCGGATCAATGCGGCTGACTGGCCTCGGATGGGTCGACGACGGACGCTCTGCGGCCTCAGCCAGAGGTCGAGTTGTTTACCCCACAGCACTGATAGGGGAAGGTGAGGCATGAGCAGCCGTGGGTGAGCACGTGTTCTCCAGGCTGAGAGACGAGCCAGACGTGGTGACTAGACTGACCCCCGGCCTGTGTGGACAGAGCCGTCTGTTTGTCTCCGTGATATAATGGGCTGATGTACTTTTCCTCAGGGTTTATTATATGTGAAAAGTTTGTCTTGTCAAAGGTTTGATCAGTTCATTTCACACAGTCTTCTTGGCAAGACAAGGCGTGTTTTTGGGGGGTTTTGTATTGGAACGTTCAACAACAACAACAACTGGTTAATCCTAAGTGCTTTACGTAAGACTGGGAGGAGACATGTTACTGACACATCAGGAATCAGAAATATTTATTGCCAAAATATGTTCGACATACAATTTGAATTTGACATGGCGGTTGTTGCATAACATTGGACAGTAAGATAATGAGACATTGGACAACAAGACAAGAAACATTAAAAGGGAAAAATAGAGAACAGAAGAGAAGATGCAAGCAAGCTCAAATGGAACGAAACAAATCCACCATTAGAAAATGAAATCACAGGGCAATTTGACATTTTAAATAGTCCAATGTATTTTTACAAAAAGCAGCGGCAAACCGTAAAGTCTTCAGCCTTCATTTGATTTGACAGAACTGAGAGTTGGTGCAGATGTCTGTTGTGGTACACAAACTGACCACCACTGTGTGTTAGGTTTTCCCTCTGGGGACAAAAAGCAGACCTGTCCCGAACTGTCCAGAGCCATAGAGTTCTGAACAGTTTGTAGTTTCCCACAAATGTCCCTAGTCCCTAAATAACCCTTTGCGTTCTCACAAAAAGTTTTTTTTTTTTTTTGTTTTGTAAATTCTTTGATAAACAGGAAGGAAAAATTAAATCCTGACGATGTTAAGAGAAGAGAATGCATATGTGAAGGTGACATAAGGGAGTGATAACTAACTTGATTATCCTTCATCTTCTGGACACAAGATCTGTGACACAAAGGTGCATCTCACCTCCGCATGCCAAACACAGACACATTTAGTCCAATAGGGGGTGCTAGCACTGCATGTCACAGCAAGAGGACACACTGTACCGGGTGTTAATGTCGGAGGTCCATTCATGGCAAACAACAACTGATTTGTTATTTTTTCTTTTTGTGGTATCCTTTCATATTTATTTTAAGCACAGTTGAATTGATACAGGAAACTCCTTCTCAACACACGGTCAGCTCCTCTGCGCTTTCAAAGCTTGACCTGTTGAAGTGGACCACAGGATTTGTTGTTATATTTAAAAGTCTGACCTCCCGCATTGTTTACCCTTGACTGACAGTCCCGGTGCCACAAGTACACCGAGCCAAACAGAGAGCATTATGGGAAGGAAGCTGCAACCGGTGGTCCTCACTACATTTCACCCCGTTGTCGGCTTCCAGTTTTAATTGATTAGTTCCAGGGACACTTGAAGCAGCAGCTACACACCCACACAAAACAACACACACTTGAGAGGTAGCAGCTGAGTTCCTCCATCCTCTCCAGAGACTGCAGGAAACCTCTGTGCTTCCCTCTGCTGGTCACAGCTCACACTGACGATGGCCTCCTGACGACCTTGCAGAAGGCCGGAGGCCTGAGTTCCTCTCCACCTCACTCACGTCCTGTGCGTAGGTGTCAAAGCTGACGTTTCCCTGTTGTGGGGTGTTACAGGGTGAAGTCGCTCGCCATTGCAAACTGTTGACTTGGATGATATACTTTTTGTAGGGTTCATGTCCTCAGATTAGTGTCTGTGCCCCGTGTTTGAGGATATGCAGTCTCTTGTGTATTATCCGATCGCTAGCTGGCTGAGTAAACGTGTTGATAGCATCCATTGCAAGTTAAGCTGGAGCAGTTTCAGTTCAACAGGGAAAAAAATGTTGGCTGCGAAATCGTCCCAGTATGTGTTTACTGCTCTGGATCTGGTCTCACTGTGCAAAGGTTTCCCTGCAAAAAAGAAATGTCAACACTTGTGAGGCGCTGTGTTTGTCAGATGTGATGCTTATTCCAACTGAACACACATTGAAAACATGCGTTAAGAGTGTCGTATTTCACTCGATACGTGTCTGCCAGACAAAACAGTTGAGGATATGCAGTATGGGAGCATGTTTACAACCTTTGAAATGCCAGAACAGTTTCCTTAGAAAGCTTCATAGATGTTAACTGAAGAAACATTTTATTGAAAATCCTACTTTAAGCCACATCTACGCGGCTAGCTATTCACCATACTCCACTTTAACAAGAAAATCCCACGTGAACTATGGTCACACCATATTTTAGTTCATAAAAACAACTAATGTCAACATGTCAACCTTTGGACCACCATACTCAAAGCCCACACATGTAAACAGTCAATTTATGATATATAGTTGCCACTTTTAGCCACTGGGGACAAGTTCTGTTCAAGTTAAATCTCAAGATACGGCTTCAATGTATAAATATTAACCTGAATATCCAGTTATGTCACAATAGTCTTTTAATGAAAGGAGCTCTTCCCCTTCTGTGGTCTATGAAAGAGGACGGCGTAATGCAGCCATAAATTCACCAGCCATAAAGTCCTCCTCAGGCAGGACGAGACATCTGGCATTACACCCAAAAAGGAACTTGGAGAGGTTCGAGGTGTCTCAGACCTCGAGTCCTGCAAACAATTTGGCTGCAGTGAGAAGCACAGTTCCAGCAGCACGAGTATCCAGACCAGGTGGCAGCAGAGCTGAGCCCAGTGAGAAGTCCTGAATCTCAGAGTCTGCTGAGGCCAGCGTGACACCAGCACGGCCTCCAGACCCAGCAGCCCCAGCAGCAGCAGAGAGGCCAGGTGGTGCGTGTCAAGCAGCCGCTGACAGAACGCACCCAGCGCCTCCCTCCAACAGGCTGACTCCTCCACGAGGCCGGTCGCCGTCCCGCGGCGCGCCTCCTCCGTCCACCCGGCCAGCTGGAGCATCCAGTGCAGCAGCACAACAGAGTCGGTGAGGGCCAGCCGGGCCAGGAGCACGGTGGAGGGCTTGGTGGAGGTGTGAGGGGAGTGGAGCAGCAGCAGGGCCCGCAGGCTGAACACACAGCCCACCAGCAGGGGGACACCTGCCGTGTGGGGCAGCAACAGCACCGTCACCAGCTTCAGCAGCAAGTACCGACGCAGCCATCCTTTGGAGGTCGAGAGCAGTCCCGATGGTGCCGAACCATGCCTGCACCAAGAGCCCATCTCCATGACTGACCTCAACACCTGGTTTGACCTGCAGAGAGTTCAACACATGGACGTCAGTTCAGTGGGATGCGCCCATCTTGTTTTGGATCACTGCACCACCCATGCGAAGGCAGAGAATATACAAACAACGGTGGTGTATCGCCTTCACTTAATTCACATTAACTTGCCTATTTTTGTATGACCAAGCTGCAGTATTGTGTAAGAAGGAAGAGGCCTGGGCAAGCAAACAAGCCTCCAATGGATTCCTGGCTTCTAAAGGCCTGTGTCAAACGTAACTGAGGTTGAACATCAACACTCAACGTTTGAGAGAGCCTTTGCGGGGCATGCATTTAATTTAATTTGAAAATGAAGGATAAAGGAGCCTCATGAAAAGAAAACGACAAATTATGGCAATTGAGTCATATGGGAAATAAAACTTAGTTTATGAATGGCACCACTAGAAAAAAGTTTACACATTTACACTTAATTTGATACTTTTAAAGTCCTATTAAGAGCCTCCACTCATTTCCCTCAGCTACAATGCTGACCTCTACTAATACCCAACGCCGTTCTTAACTTCCGAAACAGCGGATCAACTAATGAGCCGATATACAAATGCATTCACCTTGAAGCAAATAGTTTGTGTGACTCACCTGTGTATTGCCAATAGTCCGGGTTTCACCTGAATATGAGCTTAAAGAGGGTTTTCCATCCCCATGCCTGAATACTCCCCCCAAAGAGGCTGAATGAGACTGTGTTCGTGTCTCTTCGCTTTATCTCAACGCTGGTTGCTTCCACTCAGCCGGTAAAGTCCACAAATGTCACGATGTCTGGTCCGAGAGCCCGACTGCGTCTGACTCTGACGCTGTGCCCGAGGGCTTTCCGTTCATCACCAGTGTAAACCTGCGTGCTGTACTGTGCAACACGGAGCCAAAAAAGGAGCTTTGTGTGCGCTTTCGCTGACTCGGCACAGATTCCTTCAAAACTGCATTGCTCTTTAATGACTGTTACTGTCACCGCTCGTTACAGCGTGCCTGCCCTGTAACAATACTGTTACAGGGCAGGCGGAGTGGAACACAAAAAGCAAATATCGTTGTTGCGTCTTGCCTTGCTTCATTAACTGGTCGCAGCGCTGCTCTGATGGCCGACTGTGAACATGTAGCTTTAGTTTTGGGTGGTGCGAGTAGCACACGTGATGGTGTGCAGTAGGCTGGGTGTGTGAGTAAGGGCCTCACGCAACATGTGAGTATTGGTGTCACCAACTGGTTCTACCAACTGGTTTTCCCATAGTAGAAGGTTAGAGAAGAAACACAAACTTGGTAATTGAGGAGCATTTACAAAACCCTGTGTGTGTGTGTGTGTGTGTGTGTGTGTGTGTGTGTGTGTGTGTGTGTGTGTGTGTGTGTGTGTGTGTGTGTGTGTGTAGAGCATTATAACATCGGATCATTTTTTAGGGTTAGGGATTAGGGTGTATTTGGTTTATAGATGAGATGAACTTGGATGCTCATTCGTGCTCATCCGTGCCTCAATACTGCGTGGACCAAAGAGATTCAAAGGCTGCTGTGTGACAAACAACCTGTGATCACTTCCACTGACATAAACCAACAGCTTCAAACCTAAACTTGTTAGCCCCCATAAAATATAGAGTGCTTCATAAAGTGCTCAACCTATAGAGGAAGTGTCCTGCTGATGTGCTCTTCTCTTTGTATTTATCCTTGAACCCATAATAACAAAGTGAAAACTGTTTTTTGCAAATCTGTTAAAAATAAAGAAACATCACATGTACATAAGTATTCACAGCCTTTGCTCAATACTTTGTTGGAGCACCTTTGGCAGCAATTACAGCCTCAAGTCTTCTTGGGTATGATTCCACAAGCGTGGCACACCTCCTTATGGGCAGTTTCTCCCATTCTTCTTTGCAGAACCTCTCAAGTTCCATCAGGTTGGATGGGGAGCGTCGGTGCACAGCCATTTTCAGATCTCTCCAGAGACGTTCAATTGGTTCAAGTCAGGTCTCTGGCTGGGCCACTCAAGGACATTCACGGAGTTGTGCCGAAGCCACTCCTTTGTTATCTTGGCTCTGTGCTTCGGGTCGTTGTCCTGTTGGAAGATGAACCGTCGCCCCAGTCTGAGCGCTTTGGAGTATGTTTTTCACAAGGATGTCTCTGTACATTGCTGCATTCATCTTTCCCTCAATCCTGACTAGTCTCCCAGTTCCTCCTGCTGAAAAACATCCCCACAGCATGATGCTGCCACCACCATGCTTCACTGTAGGGATGGTATTGGCCAGGTGATGAGCAGTGCCTGGTTTCCTCCAGACATCACGCTTGGTATTCAGGCCAAAGAGTTCAATCTTTGTTTCATTAGACCAGAGAATTTTGTTTCTCATGGTCTGAGTGTCCTCCAGGTGGGCTGTCATGTGCTTTTTACTGAAGAGTGGCTTCCGTCACTCTACCAAACAGGCCTGATTTGTGGAGTGCTGCAGAGATGGTTGTCCTTCTGGAAGATTCTCCTCTCTTCATAGAACAACGCTGGAGCTCTGTCAGAATGACCATCGGGTTCCTGGTCACCTCCCTGACTAAGGCCCTTCTCCCCCGATCGCTCAGTCTGGCTGGGCGGCCAACTCTAGGAAGAGTCCTGGTGGTTCCAAACTTCTTCCATTTCCAGATGATGGAGGTCACTGTGCTCATTGGGACTTTCAATGCTGCAGAAATCGTTCTGTACCCTTCGCCAGATCTGTGCCTCGATACAATTCTTTCTCGGAGGTCTACAGATAATTCCTTGGACTTCATGGCTTTGTTTATGCTCTGATATGCACTGTCATACTGTCATACCTTATATAGACAGGTGTGTGCCTTTCTCAATCATGTCCACTCAACTGAATTTAGCACAGGTGGACTCCAATCAAGTTGTAGAAACATCTCAAGGATGATCAGTGGAAACAGGATGCACCCAAGCTAAATTTTGAGTGTCATGGCAAAGGCTGTGAATACTTATGTACATGTTTTTGTTCTTTATTTTTAACAGATTTTTGAAAAATGTGCAAAAAACAGTTTTCACTTTGTCATTATGGGTTGTTGTGTGTAGAATGTTGAGGAAAATAATAAAATGAATCCATTTTGGAATAAGGCTGTAACATAACAAAATGTGGAAAAAGTGAAGCGCTGTGAATACTTTCCGGATGCACTGTAACTTAACACCTCATGTCAAGTTTTTAATAAAGCAGTTTGCAGTGTGTTTCTTCAAAGTAAGGTAGTTAAGTTTGCTGAGTAAAGGTAGAGAAATGGGGGGATTTTGGAAGTTGTGGTTTATTCCATCCTCATCCAGTGCAGCGTTGAGTGGTGTTCAAACCAACACGAGGCAGCTTGTAGTTGTAGTTGTAGCAGCCCAATAGTGTCTCTGAAGGTAGGAGAGTGAACCCACCTATCGTCTATCGTTCCAAATGTAATTACGAAAAAAGCAGTTTCATTTTAGTAAAGATATCAGGAGGAACGTGTGGTTTGAAAAAGGTACTGAAATTTAGGAAAAATATTTATCTTCAGCAGATTAACAAAGATTTCCATCTATTAATAGATTCAAAGACCTACTCAGTCACAGACTGGAAAGTCAGCAAACTGAGCTTCCTTGGAACCAATTTTTTATTCATGCCCTTGTGATAAATTGAATAGTGACCTTCAAAATAAACCGACAAACGGAAGAAATAACAACAAGGGCCTCTCCCAATTGAGGCCCCATAGCTAGGCCTAGTCTACACCCTGTGTGGATAAACACGCACGTCTCCTCAGCCAAAGTTCTCTGATCTTTGGTACTCTTCATGTGAGGATCCTTGCTATGTTTCACGATGGGTCACGATTGCAGTGGTATGCTTCCCAGCCTGTAGGCTTGTTTCGATGGCTACCGGTTGTTCTGCTCCTATGTTAAGAGCTTTATGCAGCCATGCCGTTAAGAATGGACACGCATCTCCGCTCCGCGTTCCCTCGGGACATCCAACCAGTCTGAGATTGGAGCGACATTGCAGGTTTTCCGTCTCTTCCATCTGTGAGGCGAGTTTGTGTCTAACAAGTGACATAGCATTACGGTCTAACATAATATAATGTGCTGTGACAGCTTGAACGCAACAACAATACAACTTAAGGGCTCAGCGTGTTACAAAAGTACTTAACAGCGTATTCCAACAATGCGGATAGAAATATCCGCCCTACCAATGATCCAGTGCAGTTGTGAGTGTTTGTGTGTTAAGCCTGAGAGATGATGTGCTGCAGTCTCTTTTAGAGTCTCTGGACAATAGTCTCGGTGTGGCTGGGTCTCTGATCCCCGTAGTGTTCTCTCATAATAAACACATACAGATACATTCCTCTGCTCTTGAATGGTGGATTAATCCGTAAAGCCCGGGCCATACCTCAGGGTTTACCTCAGGACTTAACTAATCTGCTGAGTTATGTTTTTGTCACTTCCAGGAACAAACAGCGGATTACTTTTTTTTGATTCAGGGCTTGCGCCGCACCAACACTGTCTTTTTTTCACTTTCCTTCTTCAGAGCTGACTCTCAGACGTCTTTGACTCCTTCCCGTTGCTGGCCGGGTTGTGCGTGTCCCCGGGGAGAGTGTTTGCCACGTCCTGGGTCTCGGTGTCGCTGCGGGGCAAGCTCTCGGGCCGAGAGCCCGACCCTCTGCCTCCCATGGTCAGGCTCTTCTGGAAGCTCTCTGAGGTGAAGTAGTAGACCACAGGGTCCAGGCAGCAGTTGAGGCAGGCCAGGCACAGAGTGATGGGGTAAAGAGTTCGGGCAAAGCGCTCCACAGAGCAGTTAGCCAGGGCCTGGGTCCGCACCAGGGCATACAGGAAGAGGATGGAGTTATAGGGAACGAAGCAGATGATGAAGATGCCCAGATGGACCAAAATCATCCGCAGGACACGTTTCTTGCTGTTACAGCCGTGACCAACGGTCATCGGTCGCCGCAGCGTCCGCAGAACAAGCGAGGAGCACACCAAGTTGGCCAGGAGGGGAAGAAGGAAGTCCACAATCTAGGAGTTAAATTACAAGCAGAGAAAAACTTTACAGTAAAATGGAACATCACAAAAAGACAGTGTATGAATGGCATGTTCCTATGTTTGACTGTCCGGGCCTCTCTCTCCTCACTCACCTCGATGAAGATGGTGATTTTAGACAGGTAGGTCCTCCGCGTTCCTGCGCGTGCGGAAGGAGCGGGAGCGGAAAGGGTAGACTATCGCCAGGAAGCGGTCCACGCTGATGCAGGTGAGGAAGAGCATGCTGCCGTAAATGTTGGTAATGAAGGCGGTCCCGGACACCTTACACAGTCCATCACCAAACGGCCAGTTGCGGTTAACATTGTAGAAGACCTTGAACGGCAGCGTAAAGACAAATACCAGAAACAGGCCTCTGGGACCCGCTGATGGGATCGGATCGAGTTCAGTCTCAACTCACATCCAGCTGTTCTTTTCTCTCACACGCCAAGAGGATGGAGGCAGGGAGGGTTGAAGGTGGAGGACAACCAGGCGAGCGGTGTTGAAACGAACATTTTCCCTTCCAGCCAGTAGGGCTGATAGAGCTACACAGAGAGTGTTTTTAATCAGAAAAGGTATTGTTCAAAGTTACATCACACTCAACCAATATCATGAATATGCTGTATTCTTTATTTAAGGTTTTAAGGTTATTCCTAAAAAGGAAAAAAATGAAACCAGGACCGTGAGAAAAAAGTGCTGGCTGGATCGGGTTTTAGTCATCACCTGAGACTTGAGGCCAGCTGTAATTCAAAGTGGCGAGCACTTAAACAATAAATAGTCTTTATGCTTTGACGATTTCTATTATTTCAAGCAAATGTATACTTATTTACCATACCATATTTAACTTCACTACAGTAATTTGTCTACATACTTAGCGGGTTCAGATAACTTAAATCTATATAAATGAACACATTATTATACGTTATTGATTTGGATCAAGCTACTAAGCAGTATATTAAGTAGCCGAAATTAGCTTCACCACATTAATGCATTACAGGTATATTCTATGAGTTTTCAGCATTTTGTACATAAAGGCTGTATATATTTATGTTGAAAGCGTGCACTTCTTACCCTAACACTTGAATGCAATTACTTTACTTTGGCCTTTCTCATTTGACTTCTTCCACTATGGTGCATGATTTATGGGGAATTTGCATGGGACAACAAAGCTGTTGTTCCGTTACTCTGAACACATTAAGGTTAAATAAGACTTTAAGACACACATTAAATCTCCCATTCACACGTTTAACGGTCAAGTCGTAGCAAAACAAAGTGCAGTCCTTCAAGGGGCGCTGTGGTAAATTGCATTAGCCAGTACTGAAGAATCGTGCGTGTCTCAGTTCAACGCCTTGTTGTTACACTTGCAGCCGCATCTTGTCCGCTATAATTCGGTTATACGCGACGTGGAAAGCAGCCGCTCGTTATTTTTTATTTTATTTTACACAAAAAAACGTTTTTTTGTTGTGGTTATTTTTTAACTCCAACCAAACCCCCCAAAACGAGCAGTGACCGCGTGCAGACGAAGCGGACTCACGGGCAGCTGAAGGGATGACAGCTCGCCTCCTGCTCTCTGATGTCCGCCAGCTGTCACAAGAAGGACTCCACACTTGGTGCTTGTTGTCCCTCCACGATGTCTCCGTCTGCTCGCCTCGACGTTTCCCCAAAAAAGTGCACGGGCAAAATCACGGGGGCCCCCGTTTTTTTTTGTTTTTTTTTAAAGCGAGCCGAAAACGCTGCGGGCGAGAGTTTCCTCAATTAATCCCGACGGCCCGCTCCGTCCGTCCGACAGCAGTGTGTGGAGGGGAGTCGCGGGTCGAGGGGGGTCGAGGGCGGGCCGCCTCGCATCCAGCGCGCCTGCTCGCCCGGGAAGGCAACAGGAAGCGAGACAATGGCAGAACAGGAGGGGGGGTGTCGAGGGGGAGACATGGGGCCGCTGTCATCAGCTCAACGTTCATTAGGACGTGAAACGCACTTTTATATTAAACGCTTCAGCTGTTTCAACGGGACGCCGCATTGGTGGTTTCAGTTGTGTCGGTGAGTAAATTGAATAAAGTTGCTCCAGAGACACTTGAGGTAACTTTCTCTTTTTGGCTGTAACACTTGCTGTGTGTTTAACACACAGTGAACATAATAACAACGGGCTCAGAGATGCACGGGGCGACGGACACACGGAGGAAAGTAGGGGTCTTGTTTTATTTGTGTGGGCGTGGCGCTCCCTTTTCTCCGCGCGCACACCTGTCCGCAATCAGCTAATTGTCCCAGCAGAACGCGTATCCGCGCGTGACGACCACGCTGCGTCATCCGACGGGGAGCCCGTTTCCTGCGCTCCAGGGTTCCGGTTTGCCCTCGTGCTGCCTCACAATACACGCGAAACGTGTAAATGCTCCTTACACAATAACTCAAGTAAAGGATCGCATACTTTCTATGGGTTAATGAACTCTTTTTAAACAACTAAAATAGTTTATATTTAGATTAAGTGCTTATTTATGCAAACGAATAGTCGAACTTCCCATGGTGAGAGAATGTCATTACAAATGACTTGCATCAGGCCATTGGTGCGGAATCTGGAACTGTATATAAATTGAACATGGGGATGAAATCTTGCATCGACCAGATATTTTGTTAACCTCTATGTGTGATGAGCACAGTGGGATTTTTGTCTGATCAAAGCCCTGCTATACCATTGTTACAATTCAATCTGCTGGTCTGAGGCTACCAAAAGAGTTATTTTTAGCCAGGTGACAGGGCGTGTTGGACAGGTTCCTATTGTCTTCAGGCTGGCATGGGGCTGTGTGTGTGTGTGTGTGTGTGTGTGTGTGTGTGTGTGTGTGTGTGTGTGTGTGTGTGTGTGTGTGTGAGAGAGAGAGGTACTTGACAGGGAGGAAGTGGTCTTTGGGGGTAGCGTCTGGCAGGCTGACCACTCCAGAATAGCAGCAGGGAGGACAGGACATCCATTCTGTCGTGCGCACACACACACACACACACACACACACACACAAACACACACAGCCACACGGCCCATTACACACCGCCAGATGTCTTTCACCTCTGGATTCTTTGTGTACATGTGTTTAAAGAAGTCACACGCCGTGATGAAAACATATTGCTCTAAACATGTTTCACAACACGATGCTGCACTTTCCTTCTTTCATCAGCTTATTGCTTTTAAAGTCATTTTAAAATATTTTCCTCTTACTTGAAAACAGTGAGTTGGGTAGAAAAAACTAAATTCATATTAATGTACTCTCCTATTACATCATAGGATAAGCTTGGATAAGGCAATATTTTCATGTCACCCCCTATTAGCTATTCATTCCATATCCAAATATCTGTCTTTTTCAACAATTCTTGTCAAATTGTATTTCAAAGCCCCCTTCCCTGTCTCCTTGTCTTCCATGTCCCTGGCCTCTGTGTGTGAGTGTGTGTCTTGCCATCAGTCTTCTGTCTCATCTGACTGACAACTCAAACACCTGAACGATGGAAGTGTTTGTTCAAGTTACTTGGTGTTTTATCCCGGTTGGTTGCTAATTAATTCTTCTCTTTGTGCTATAAAATATCTGCTTTGACAGACTCTTGACCGCCCACCTCCCTTAACCCCAGATTCCCCTCCTCACGTACATCCTCATCCAATGCAACTTGACAACGCACCTCCAGTTATCATTCCACACCTGAAATCTGTGCCCTGCCTCCCATCCGTTAACAAAGACACCTTGGAAAACGAGTATTGATCAATCTTTTGTATTGTCTTCACATTATTATAAAATTGTCTCTCATGACAACCATTTTTGGGGCAGTTCTTGAAATGACGGTATGGTGAAACAACTCCCCAAAACAAATACTGTATTTTTTTACTTTAAAATACTGTATTTTTTTACTTTAAAATACTGTATTTTTCTATTTACTTTTGTCTCTTTTGGCCCAAATCTTCCTGTTTAATTAAAGGCCAGCTTCCACAGGGAATGATGGTACAGTTAAATGTTGTTCAACTCCTACACAACCTGGTCAGACAAGCTGATTGTGCAACAGCGCGATGCAGGTCGCCCATGTTGTGCCGGCGGTCAAAGCTGCCAACGTGGTGCCGAAGAAACAAAAGGTAGCAAAGGCGTGGGAGCGGATGCCGTGTTGAAGAGTCACAACTGGATGAACCTAGAAGACATGTAGGTTTTGATTGGGTCGCGGAAACACAGACACACTCCTCCCTCCTTATTCTCTGGGTTTGGTAACGGTAACCAAGCTGTGCAGCCTCTGCCGAGGCTTTGGGAGTCACACCAACCAGAACAAAGACTCCATTACTGCAACCTTTCTCTCCCTCTCTCCGCCTCCTTCCATCAACTCTCTTCCTTGACCCCTCTGTCCTGCTCTCCTTTAATGCGATGATGAGTGTTTCCTTTGCTCTCCTTCCCTCGCCTGCGTCCATCCTCTCATTCATTGGCTCCAGCAGGCTTTCGGGGGGCAGCCCCGTCGTTCCACACATACCTCTGCCCTGACAACAAAGCCGGACAAAAGGCAGCAAAGCAGTAAAACACAGGAGTCCGGAGCTCCGTCGGTTTTATGGATTGATATTAACACGACTGCGGCGGAGTGTCCTAACTGTCTCTGTGTCCGTCCACACCTGACCTTGGACCCCGTGAGCCAGCGCCGACCTATTTAGAGACCAGCTCCTCTGCAGCAGAGCGGCGCCCGGATCAATGCGGCTGACTGGCCTCGGATGGGTCGACGACGGACGCTCTGCGGCCTCAGCCAGAGGTCGAGTTGTTTACCCCACAGCACTGATAGGGGAAGGTGAGGCATGAGCAGCCGTGGGTGAGCACGTGTTCTCCAGGCTGAGAGACGAGCCAGACGTGGTGACTAGACTGACCCCCGGCCTGTGTGGACAGAGCCGTCTGTTTGTCTCCGTGATATAATGGGCTGATGTACTTTTCCTCAGGGTTTATTATATGTGAAAAGTTTGTCTTGTCAAAGGTTTGATCAGTTCATTTCACACAGTCTTCTTGGCAAGACAAGGCGTGTTTTTGGGGGGTTTTGTATTGGAACGTTCAACAACAACTGGTTAATCCTAAGTGCTTTACGTAAGACTGGGAGGAGACATGTTACTGACACATCAGGAATCAGAAATATTTATTGCCAAAATATGTTCGACATACAATTTGAATTTGACATGGCGGTTGTTGCATAACATTGGACAGTAAGATAATGAGACATTGGACAACAAGACAAGAAACATTAAAAGGGAAAAATAGAGAACAGAAGAGAAGATGCAAGCAAGCTCAAATGGAACGAAACAAATCCACCATTAGAAAATGAAATCACAGGGCAATTTGACATTTTAAATAGTCCAATGTATTTTTACAAAAAGCAGCGGCAAACCGTAAAGTCTTCAGCCTTCATTTGATTTGACAGAACTGAGAGTTGGTGCAGACGTCTGTTGTGGTACACAAACTGACCACCACTGTGTGTTAGGTTTTCCCTCTGGGGACAAAAAGCAGACCTGTCCCGAACTGTCCAGAGCCATAGAGTTCTGGACAGTATGTAGTTTCCCACAAATGTCCCTAGTCCCTAAATAACCCTTTGCGTTCTCACAAAAAGTTTTTTTTTTTTTTTGTTTTGTAAATTCTTTGATAAACAGGAAGGAAAAATTAAATCCTGACGATGTTAAGAGAAGAGAATGCATATGTGAAGGTGACATAAGGGAGTGATAACTTAACTAACTTGATTATCCTTCATCTTCTGGACACAAGATCTGTGACACAAAGGTGCATCTCACCTCCGCATGCCAAACACAGACACATTTAGTCCAATAGGGGGTGCTAGCACTGCATGTCACAGCAAGAGGACACACTGTACCGGGTGTTAATGTCGGAGGTCCATTCATGGCAAACAACAACTGATTTGTTATTTTTTCTTTTTGTGGTATCCTTTCATATTTATTTTAAGCACAGTTGAATTGATACAGGAAACTCCTTCTCAACACACGGTCAGCTCCTCTGCGCTTTCAAAGCTTGACCTGTTGAAGTGGACCACAGGATTTGTTGTTATATTTAAAAGTCTGACCTCCCGCATTGTTTACCCTTGACTGACAGTCCCGGTGCCACAAGTACACCGAGCCAAACAGAGAGCATTATGGGAAGGAAGCTGCAACCGGTGGTCCTCACTACATTTCACCCCGTTGTCGGCTTCCAGTTTTAATTGATTAGTTCCAGGGACACTTGAAGCAGCAGCTACACACCCACACAAAACAACACACACTTGAGAGGTAGCAGCTGAGTTCCTCCATCCTCTCCAGAGACTGCAGGAAACCTCTGTGCTTCCCTCTGCTGGTCACAGCTCACACTGACGATGGCCTCCTGACGACCTTGCAGAAGGCGGGAGGCCTGAGTTCCTCTCCACCTCACTCACGTCCTGTGCGTAGGTGTCAAAGCTGACGTTTCCCTGTTGTGGGGTGTTACAGGGTGAAGTCGCTCGCCATTACAAACTGTTGACTTGGATGATATACTTTTTGTAGGGTTCATGTCCTCAGATTAGTGTCTGTGCCCCGTGTTTGAGGATATGCAGTCTCTTGTGTATTATCTGATCGCTAGCTGGCTGAGTAAACGTGTTGATAGCATCCATTGCAACAAAGTTAAGCTGGAGCAGTTTCAGTTCAACAGGGAAAAAAATGTTGGCTGCGAAATCGTCCCAGTATGTGTTTACTGCTCTGGATCTGGTCTCACTGTGCAAAGGTTTCCCTGCAAAAAAGAAATGTCAACATTTGTGAGCCGCTGTGTTTGTCAGATGTGATGCTTATTCCAACTGAACACACATTGAAAAAATGCGTTAGAGTGTCATATTTCACTCGATACGTGTCTGCCAGACAAAACAGTTGAGGGAATGCAGTATGGGAGCATGTTTACAACCTTTGAAATGCCAGATCAGTTTCCTTAGAAAGCTTCACAGATGTAAACTGAAGAAACATTTTATTGAAAATCCTACTTTAAGCCACATCTACGCGGCTAGCTATTCACCATACTCCACGTTTAAAAAGAAAATCCCACGTGAACTATGGTCACACCATAATGTAGTTCATAAAAACAACTAATTGTCACATCACATGTCAACCCTTGGACCACCAAACTCAAAGCCCACACATGTAAACAGTCAATCTATGATATATAGTTGCCACTTTTAGCCACAGGGGACATGTTCTGTTCAAGTTAAATCTCAAGAAACGGCTTCAATGTATAAATATTAACCTGAATATCCAGTTATGTCACAATAGTCTTTTAATGAAAAGAGCTCTTCCCCTTCTGTGGTCTATGAAAGAGGACGGCGTAATGCAGCCATAAATTCACCAGCCATAATGTCCTCCTCAGGCAGGACGAGACATCTGGCATCACACCCAAAAAGGAACTTGGAGAGGTTTGAGGTGTCTCAGACCTCGAGTCCTGCAAACAATTTGGCTGCAGTGAGAAGCACAGTTCCAGCAGCACGAGTATCCAGACCAGGTTGCAGCAGAGCTGAGCCCAGTGAGAAGTCCTGAATCTCAGAGTCTGCTGAGGCCAGCGTGACACCAGCACGGCCTCCAGACCCAGCAGCCCCAGCAGCAGCAGAGAGGCCAGGTGGTGCGTGTCAAGCAGCCGCTGACAGAACGCACCCAGCGCCTCCCTCCAACAGGCTGACTCCTCCACGAGGCCGGTCGCCGTCCCGCGGCGCGCCTCCTCCATCCACCCGGCCAGCTGGAGCATCCAGTGCAGCGGCACTACAGAGTCGGTGAGGGCCAGCCGGGCCAGGAGCACGGTGGAGGGCTTGGTGGAGGTGTGAGGGGAGTGGAGCAGCAGCAGGGCCCGCAGGCTGAACACACAGCCCACCAGCAGGGGGACACCTGCCGTGTGGGGCAGCAACAGCACCGTCACCAGCTTCAGCAGCAAGTACCGACGCAGCCATCCTTTGGAGGTCGAGAGCAGTCCCGATGGTGCCGAACCACGCCTGCACCAAGAGCCCATCTCCATGACTGACCTCAACACCTGGTTTGACCTGCAGAGAGTTCAACACTTGGACGTCAGTTCAGTGGGATGCGCCCATCTTGTTTTGGATCACTGCACCACCCATGCGAAGGCAGAGAATATACAAACAACGGTGGTGTATCGCCTTCACTTAATTCACATTAACTTATTTTTGTATGACTAAGCTGCAGTATTGTGTAAGAAGGAAGAGGCCTGGGCAAGCAAACAAGCCTCCAATGGATTCCTGGCTTCTAAAGGCCTGTGTCAAACGTAACTGAGGTTGAACATCAACACTCAACGTTTGAGAGAGCCTTTGCATACTTAGTTTATGAATGGCACCACTAGAAAAAAGTTTACACATTTACACTTAATTTGATACTTTTAAAGTCCTATTAAGAGCCTCCACTCATTTCCCTCAGCTGCAATGCTGACCTCTACTAATACCCAACGCCGTTCTTAACTTCCGAAACAGCGGATCAACTAATGAGCCGATATACAAATGCATTCACCTTGAAGCAAATAGTTTGTGTGACTCACCTGTGTATTGCCAATAGTCCGGGTTTCACCTGAATATGAGCTTAAAGAGGGTTTTCCATCCCCATGCCTGAATACTCCCCCCAAAGAGGCTGAATGAGACTGTGTTCGTGTCTCTTCGCTTTATCTCAACGCTGGTTGCTTCCACTCAGCCGGTAAAGTCCACAAATGTCACGATGTCTGGTCCGAGAGCCCGACTGCGTCTGACTCTGACGCTGTGCCCGAGGGCTTTCCGTTCATCACCAGTGTAAACCTGCGTGCTGTACTGTGCAACACGGAGCCAAAAAAGGAGCTTTGTGTGGGTGAGTAGGTGCCAGGAAGGGAGTTGCCAAGATGTCCTGCAAGCTGTCAGTTAAGAAAACGCTTTCGCTGACTCGGCACAGATTCCTTCAAAACTGCATTGCTCTTTAATGACTGTTACTGTCACCGCTCGTTATCAGGGTTTCAGTGTGAGCGTAGCGACCCACTTGTGGTGCTATTATGTTGAATACTGTTACAGGGCAGGCGGAGTGGAACACGAAAAGCAAATATCGCCGTTGCGTCTTGCCTTGCTTCATTAACTGGTCGCAGTGCTTCTCCGATGGCCGACTGTGAACATGTAGCTTTAGTTTTGGGTGGTGCGAGTAGCACACGTGATGGTGTGCAGTAGGCTGGGTGTGTGAGTAAGGGCCTCACGCAACATGTGAGTATTGGTGTCACCAACTGGTTCTACCAACTGGTTTTCCCATAGAAGGTTAGAGAAGAAACACAAACTTGGTAATTGAGGAGCATTTCCACAACCCTTTGTGTGTGCGCGCGCGCGTGTGTGTGTGTGTGTGTGTGTGTGTGTGTGTGTGTGTGTGTGTGTAGAGCTTTATAACATCGGATCATTTTTTAGGGTTAGGGTGTATTTAGTTTATAGATGAGATGAACTTGGATGCTCATTCGTGCTCATCCGTGCCTCAATACTGCGTGGACCAAAGAGATTCAAAGGCTGCTGTGTGACAAACAACCTGAGATCACTTCCACTGACATAAACCAACAGCTTCAAACCTAAACCTGTGAGCCCCCATAAAATGTAGAGCGCTTCATAAAGTGCTCATCCGATACAGGAAGCGTCCTGCTGATGTGCTCTTCTCTTTGTGTTTATCCTTGTTCCTCTGTACACACTAGAAAATCAAGTCAGCCATGTGTGCACACGCTCAAACATTTCTTTAATTCACGCTGCACAGGTGTGGGCGGTTGTGTAAACAATACCTGAGACCATTCTTTCAGAGAATGTCAAGATTTAAACTCTACAGCAATCCTCTTAAAACCACATGTTGGGGCAAAGGATCACTTACCTTATACATACAGTGCATCCGGAAAGATCCGGATCTTTATTTTTAACAGATTTGCAAACATTTGCAAAAAACAGTTTTCACTTTGTCATTATGGGTTGCTGTGTGTAGAATGTTGAGGAAAATAATGAATTGAATCCATTTTGGAATAAGGCTGTAACATAACAAAATGTGGAAAAAGTGAAGCGCTGTGAATACTTTCCGGATGCACTGTATGTATGTAAAGAGAGAGATGCTGCACCATGCCTGACCTATGGCTTTATTTCATAGCAATGCTTTTGTTTTTTTTAATGTACTGTGCATACGGAGTGCAGTTCTGTCAGAACATTGTGACTGCTGTTAACACCGACATGAAGCCACCAGGATGTGTTCAATCAATAAGGTACGAAAGGCTTCACCTTATGGGTTAACAAGGGTGTTGTTAACCCTGCAACCCTGAGGATAAAGTACTGACTCCAGTAGCTTATTGCTTTTATAATACGGGTACCTGCGACATTATAAATAGTGAGTAAATAGCCGCCTTTCAGCACCAAATAGTTGTAGCCCCCAAACGTTGTGTATCACATTTCAGTACCCTACAGGAAATAGTGCTATGCAACAAACACAGTACATTATGGTACAGTGCATTATGGTACATGGCTCATAAAGTACGCACCGTGACATCACTCTCAACCAGAATGCTATATTCCATCTACGCTTATTATAAAAAAAACAATTGAAAACAACTGAAAATCACCTAACAAATACTTTGAACTGCAAACAGAAACAAACCGCATGAACTTTGTGAGCAAATAGGAAACCACAAACGTGTATAACTGTTTCCCTCCAGTGTTTTGTTTGGATCTTATCTCAGCTGTGGAGGTGAATGGAACATTTCAGCGTTTTAGTGACCTACATGAACATCCTGGTCTGCAGGGTGTTACCGGCTCTGTGAGAGCCATAAAAACGCTCATTTCAATTACAGATAGCAGTGTGCGCAGCCCACTCTAATATTATTAGTCTTTGAATTTAATAAGCCTGTTTTTTATCTTCACTCCATGAATACATCTGCCATGATAAGACTAAACTGTATTTTGAGGCAAAAAGTCTTTGGGAGCCTTACAACTTCCCAGCAGTGAAAAACTATTTACAAGTTGTGAAATGAACTACATAGCAGTTATGAGATCCAATGGAAACAGATGTTCTCGCTTCCATGAAAGGAGTCGTTCTGCAGCCAAGGCAGAGCGGCTGCTGGGATCAAATATTTGGGGTATCTGTATCCAGTAAACAGAAGCGTGTTCACACATCAAAGACAGAAGAGGCAGTTCGCGAGTTCCTTCCCGAAGGACCGTGGGTGTTTCTATCACCTCAGCAGTTTCACACAGAGTCAGCAAATAGCTGGTGAACATGACGGATCTTTTAGCTGCTAAAGATTCGGAAGAAGCCCAAAACAGAGTTAAAAGGAGCGTTATGCAAGTAGTATGTGTAATTTTGATGCACACAAACACGACACTGTATTAATGCATATGAAGCTCTATTCAGCAGGACGAGTTAATAAGAAAAGGCTTACCAAAACACCGTAGGTGATGTTGAAATATAAATATAACATGTTCCACCCCCTGCGAGCGGCCCGCAGAAGCCCTCAATTAATGCAAGATTCAAACTAGGCTGAGGAAAATGAAAAGGCTTAGTTAAAATGAATTACCGATCATGGTCATGATTGAGTTCAGCGAATATCATATATTATATTTAGAAGAAACCAATATTCAGATAGCAAGACAACCACATGAAGCTGTCGGGGAAGTTCAGACAGGACGACCGTCTTCTTGCATATGTTGTTGTTGTGTCTCTTCTAATTAGCTCCGGAAGGCCGAGGCAAAGATATAACTCAGGTTGCCACAGGGCGATCTCACAAGCAAAAAGTCTCTCAATGTTTAACAGAAGAATGCGGGCGCTTGGCGGCAACCGGGAATCCCGGTGAGAGCAGGAGAGCGAGGTCCAAGCCGAAGGAGAGCGCACCGGAGCGCAGACGGCTCACGTCAGCAGGAGGCCGGTTAAAGCAGAGGTTTAGCCACGATTCAACAATAGTTCAACACGTACCAGTCAGGACACGGCAGGGCAGGTCAGAGCATACGGGACTGTAAAATTGTGCCAAACCCAATTCAGGCTTTATAAATCTCACCTGAATGTGAGATTTGGTTGAAACCACAACACTGTTGCATCATTGGACCCAACCCACGGGACCACCATGGAGGCCCTGTGACACGGCAATGATGCCGAGGCACCAAACCTCAGCGCGCGCCTTCAACCCGCGTCGTTTCACTGTCACTGGCTACAGGAGGAAAAAACTGTGGGAAAAGACCCGGTTAGCAGTCCTAACCTCGCTGAACAAGCTACAGACTGTTCAGGCGGACAACCTCAGTGCCCGGAGGTCTCTTAATTCACCTGCAGAGGGAGGTTTCAGGACCAGGCCGTGACCGCGACGGTGCCCTGACCCGCCCAACTTGAGGGATGAACACGCGACCATTGCTGCGAAGGGATGTCAAGGAAGAGGCCATAGGTCATAGTGTGTTGTTGCAACCGTGTTTCAGGTAGAACCGCACTGTTCCTGTTGGGCCGATGCTGTAATTCATCAACTAAAAGGCCAGCGGACGTCTGTGCGGTGAATGCTGTACTTATATTATTCAACCATTCACATCCACTCATACGGGGTTAGCATGCACGGTGCCGCCTGCCCATCAGAACTATCTAACATTTATACAAAGTGACACTCAAAGTCGGCTTTAATATCAATTCCAATGTACCGAACATACAAAAGAGAGTTGAAAAAAAGGTTCTCTCTCCTCCAACATATAAGTGACTACAGATAATAATAATAATGTCCAATACAATAGAACAAACATTTAGGCAACATACTTTGTATCAGTATCATTAAGCTAAATAATTATAGTTGGATGATTTACTTGCTAATAACCAAGGCAGTTCCTGACTGATCCCACCATAAGGCACTTAATTCATGAAGCCTTTTGACTTCCCGTCCTCATTATTGGATATTGAGATCACGTAAATAATGATCAATGCAGAAATGTTGGTAGCTCTCAACGTCCTCTGGTTGTCAACCACCTGTAGAAGCAGGCTGGCTGGACGCACCTTCAACATCTCTCAGGAGGGTCAAAACATAACTCTTTGCAGTTCCAGGTAATGGAGTAATAACTGTACAAAGCTAGATGTCTTTATACGGACAACTCCTGAGTGCAAGTGGGATTGGATGTTTATCTTAACCACTAAATGAGTTATAGAATGAATTATCCAGCCCTCCCACCACAAAGGCCTTTCAGCTGCAAAAATGAGTTTGCCCATTTCCCCTCCAGCATCCGCAGTCCATTTACTTACCACAAATCCCACTCATTAGGGGCTTTCAAAGGAAATGCTGCTGGATAACGAAAGGTTGTCCATGGTGGATAAACAGGGGTTGTTTTAACGGACACATGTACAGTTTATCCCTTTATTTCATCCCCTTAAACCTCAGCTCTCTACTTTTTCTTCAATGTAATTTGCCTCGTCAAAAAGGAATACACAGACAAAGTGGAACAGGGTGAAAAATCTAATAAATCACCGTGTTGCAGAAATACGAGGTGAAACACATAGAGTCAGATTACATTTCTTTAGGACAGAGACACGTCTGTGGGTGAAGTAAAAGTAGTACAATAGAGTGTGACCAAGGTGGAGACACTTCAATGTTTAGATGGGGATTAGTGAAGTATGCTCTTGTGCTTTATTGTGTTAAGCCCGTAAATGTTCATCCAATTGTGCAAACAAGATGAGTCTAAATGTCGTATGTGCATCTCAAATACAGAGCAACCAACTAACAAGAGTACAACCTTTTTGTGTTTGTGCGCTCTGTCTCTCTAGCTCTATCTCTTTTTAACTTACTGTAAATGTGTCACATCGTGGACATGATGTCATCGGTAGTAGAGAGCAAACAACTGGGGCTGTGAGGAAGCAGCCACCTGCTGTAGTATCCTCCCACTGCAGCTAGGACTTATGGCAGAGGAGGAAGAGAAGCCCAAGAGACGCGTTCAACAGACCGGCTGCAAGGCTCCGACACCAGACAGGAATTCAGAAGGTAAGGAAGGACGGCTTGTTTGAAAAAAAGTGAGACGTGCTCTCCTGTGTTAGCGGGGAGGAGGTAACTAATGTTTTACATTTATGGTGTGAGATTGTGCTGCGACTTGTCACATCCAGTACTCAGGCATGTTTTGAGAGAGGCAATGCAAACCGGTAGCCAGCATGAATGGGTGAATTAATAACATTTATATATATTATAGAAAAAGGAGAGCCACAAGGCTTAATAAAGGTTTAATAAATACGTGTGTAAGGTAAGCAATGATATGTAATGCTCGCTCCCTTTTGGCTGGGTTCAATCTTGGCAGGTTGATGATGTTTATACCGACTGGACTTAACAGCCTCTCTGTGAGATATTCTCATCAGGGTCAGGTTATAGGCAAAAGGAAATAACTGTTTCCTTGTGAGCACTTTTGTGGCAGATGAGCAGCTTACATGAAATATATATATATATATCAGGTCTCGTAGTGCTAATTCTTCAACGTAATCTATACGTAATCCATACGTAGTGGATTATATTTGGTTTTATAGCGTCTAACTGGATGTTCTTTTCTGGAACCACTGTAGCAGGTTATTATACGTCTGGTGGAAGTCATCTCTTTTACTGAATATCATACTCACTTATACAGCCCCCCCCCCCCCCCCTCCACCCATGGTCCTTATTAACTATATAATAGTCATACTAGTCATACTCAGTTACAGTTTTCTTCGCCGGTTTTGAATGCTTGAACAACAGTTGAATTATTCATTACTTCATTAGGGGTTATTGCATTATTCCCTATGCCTGGTTGTGAACGAATTAATATTGCTAACAGAAGGCTCAATAAGTGTGTTAAACTCACCTACAGTCATAATTGTATCATTGGTCTTAAGCTCAGATCTTGCTGTCTTGGGAGTGACGCAGGATGCAGTCAAAATGATCAACTGAAGAGATAAAAGTGCTTCCGTTGACTGTCTTTGTCTTTTCAATAGTGGCTGCCAGTTAATGAACATGCAAGTTCATCCCCTGATGTAAAGATAAATAGAAGTTGGTGCAAAAAAAATTGTCATGCACTTTTGGCTTTTTCCGCTCTACAACGACAAAGTGACCCAAAATGTTTATCTACTTTCCTAGTTTCTCTCGAATCAGCAGAAGGCCGAGACCGTTTCTGACAACAATCTACCACATCAAAGTCACTCCACTTGTTGTGTTTTGTTTCGTTTCTATCCTTCACATGCTCTTTGGCTCACACCACCGTTTCCCCCCCTTTGTGCCTCTGCAGCTGCAGGTGGGACTGAAAATGGAGTCAAATCTGACAGGCAACGTGGAGCTTAACTCTACCGCTAAGTGTCCACTCATTGATGACTTCCGTAACCAGGTGTACTCCACGTCCTACTCCCTCATCACCGTGCTGGGCCTGTTCGGGAACGGCTTCGCCCTGGTGGTGCTGCTCCGAACGTACCGCCAGAGCTCCCCCTTTCACATCTACATGCTGAACCTGGCTGTGTCCGACCTGCTGTGCGTGATGACGCTGCCTCTGAGAGTTCTCTACTACGTCAACAAGGGCCAGTGGAACCAGGGGGATTTCCTCTGCCGCGTCAGCTCCTACGCCCTCTACGTCAACCTCTACTGCAGCATCTACTTCATGGCCGCCATGTCCGTCACGCGCTTCTTGGCCATCGTCTTTCCCGTGCAGAACATGCGTCTGGCGACGGAGACCCGTGCTCGCCTGGTGTGCGGGTTTGTCTGGGTGTTCATCTGCCTCATGTCCTCGCCCTTCCTGATGTCCGGCCAGCACTTTGACCCCGTCACGAATAAGACCAAGTGCTTCGAACCCCCAAACGAAGACGGCGTGTCGAGACTAGTCGTGCTGAACTATTTGTCCGTGGTGGTGGGCTTCGCCGTGCCTTTCCTGGTCATCCTGCTCTGCTACGCGGGCATCGTCCGCGCGCTGCTGTCCCGCACCAGCTCCGCCCGACGCCAGCAGGGGACAAGCGCCAGGGCCATCCGAATGATCGTCATCGTCCTGCTGACCTTCCTGATCTGCTTCATGCCGTACCACGTGCAGCGCACCATCCACCTGAGCTTCCTGTCGCGGACGGACGCCACCTGCTCAGAGAAGGTGGCCATGCAGAAGTTTGTGGTGGTGACGCTCTGCCTGGCCGCTTCCAATTCCTGCTTCGATCCGCTGCTTTACTTTTTCTCCGGAGAGGGTTTCCGCACTCGCTTGTCCTCCCTGCACAAGTCGCTGAAGGGCAGCACCCTAAATCGTTTAGCCAGAATGAAGCCCTCCACAATCCGAGAGTCTGGGAGAACCGACAGCTGAAGGGCAGTTAGTTTGCACGTGACCGGCAGGCGTCTCAGGATTTGTCTCCCCGTTGCCTTTAATTACTGAAGAAAGCGTTTTTCAAGACAGGTTGAATGTCACTAAAATTTAAGTATATTTAAATTTCATATTCTAATGAATATGTATATTATTTATGAATTAAACATCTCAAACTTTGCCCCCCCCCATTTCCCTCAACCAATCAAGACTTTTTTTATGTTATCTTTTTATTTTGTTCCCCGTGGAAGCACGCCAGATTTCTTCAGAAATTGAAGGTAACACGGGGTGTGTAATTGATGCTGACATGATCATTCTAGTGGGTGCAGTATGGGTGGAGATGAAAAGCAGCAAACAGCTTAATCATGAAGACAGTATTTAAACACCCAAGTAGCAAGTGTCAATTGTTTCATAGAATGAAAAGTGCACATATACTTTGTTCTGCCTGACCATTAAAGAAGTAGCCATGAGCTGAATGTGTCCCAAAATGTGGAACTACAAATATGAATGTACAGTATCTAAATCAATGTATGTATTGTAGATACTTTTGTACTTTTTTTGTTTAGTCGTGTATCACAAAACCTGCATATGAAAGAAGGGCGAAACTGTGCTGTGTTCACTACTGTTGAACTTTGCTGCTTCTTCCATCATTGTTATTTTGTTGGCAATTTTCTAGTAATGCAAATATTTCTATTATGAGCTGTAGTGTTTTTCCATGCTTATAATGACTTTCATTCAATTTGATTTAAAAATAGTTGTTTCAGTGCTTCTGATTTTTTATATTTTTGTACGTGTTTTCCATTAATAATATTGATGTTCTGGAATGTGTACCGTTAAAGGATTAGTTTGACTTTTCCTTTGTTCTCGAGAGTAACTTTTATTATTGTATGGTAAATAAGAACCTTCAGCATACTCGAACTTAGCTAAGCATAATGACTGGAAAGAAGGGAAACAGGTAGCCGACTCCACTCACCTCAAGGCTCCCCAATTAACAGCGGTTGAGATGAGGTGTGTTTCCCGTGCTTATGCTGTACTAAAATAACCCGCTACTGGCATTGAGGTAAGATGGTAATTTAAAGGATTTACAACAGCGTAGGTCAAAGTGCAGACAAAATACACAGGAGGCATGAAAAACAAGGGAAAGAAGAAGAAACGAGATGGTCAAAAACAATTCCTCATTTTCGCAAAAAGAAAAATAACAACTGAAATCTTGCCACTGCCCTATGCAAATACTCTTTCATGTAATTTATGTCAGCTGTATGAATAAATTATCAGTTCAGTAAAATCACTGCCTACATGTGATGGAAGTTACCAATTCTGTCCACAAGGTGTCGCACCAGTACACACATTGTTGTTTCCTTCCAACCAATTCAAAAATAAACATCTTCTCTGCCGCTTTTTTGTTATTTCTCTAAGATGAGCAACCAACGAGGCGCAGCACTGTGACGAATTGCATTTGTGCAAAAAGTCTTACAGCTGTCCTCAGGGCGCGTGAATGCATTAGCTGTAGCTAGAAAAAAACCTGCTACATTTATAGAAAAGGGCAACGGCATCTTTCTAGACAGTAAATTCAAAAGCAAGACCAAAATGTAGCTGCACGGTCAATTACAGATACAAAACCACACTGAGAGACCACACTGTTGAGGCGGGCCCTGCTGATTAGAACAGAGGGCCACTGTGTTACCACTTCATAAACAGATAATATCGAGCACATGATAGTCTGCCTCCTCTATTGCACAAAAAGAGGTTTGTTTCAGGACCATCTCCGAGATGGGGGTCTGTTGTTGCAGTGCTTGCGTGCTGCACGGGGGAACATGCTCACCATGCAGGAAGTGACGAAAGTCCCTGCTCGATTCCACCTCGTATGTTTCTAAAGAGATTACAGATAACAGTGAACCCCAGTGCGTTGCAGGAAAGTTCACTCTCTTTCATCTGTTTGGTGCACTTCAAAAAGAGGTTTGGCTGAAACATTGATTGGTTTTTGGGATCGGCTGAGATTAAAACTTGATTGCCCCGAGGGAGAGCAGACTCAGCTGTGCAGCATGTGTTAATGCCCACCATGTGAGATCTTCAGGAGCGCCGCTTTTACCGTGGGCCGTTTCTGAGGTCATCCGGATTTCCTTTGTGCATGGAAATCCCAACGGCACGTACCTTGAAAAGCAGCTTTCAGGCCTTAAAATGTCCTAGTGGGAGCCATCTAATAGACTACAGGGGCTTTACTCATTCTTAGAATAACATTTTTTGCCCTGGAAAGCCGCACAACATGCTGTAAACAACAGGAAATAATCACCGTGAAAAATAGAATTACACATCCGAATTAAAGTTAGTTTTTTATCGATTCATATCGTTCTCCTTTTAGATCAACTGCTGGCCAAAATGCCCCCATATAAGCTAAGCTTCCTTCATACATATTTACAGTAATATTGCGTCGGAAACCCCCTACTCTGCTGTATGGTGCACAGCAGGTGGGTTAATTGGGTATTTCAAGCTTTTTCCCTGAAAACATCTGCCTCCTTCGATGTAAAAGCAACGCAAATTATAGTAAACCAAAACGTTTCCATCTCACTACCGTGGTCTAATAAACTACGGTCCAATAGGAAACCGAATTTCTTCACGCTTGTAATGGTGGTTCATGGCGGGCCTGCAGTTGCGCTCCACTACACACCGGATGTTTTGATTGGCCACACAGCCCGGAAATAGGAAGCAGGAACTGTTAGGAAGTGCAAACGGACCCAGATGCAACACGCAGGACCACCAAGGTTTCTTTCTTCAACAGGGTTTATTTATTTTCTCCGGCAGGGAAAAAACAAAAGCAACACAAAAACACAAGTCAATGGTGAGTGACAGGCAGAGGAGCTCGACTGCGTGACGCCCGAGGCTCAACGCAGGAGTTTGTAGGTGCTCAGCTGATCTCCGCGGAACTAACTGGCTACCTCTTCGGCCATGTGAATCTCCGAAAAACCGGTCCACTATGGTCAGGATAATTCTATTGTTATCCGAGGGGGGGGAAACCTGTGACAAAGTCCAATGCCATGTGTGACCAAGGCCTGTGGGGAACAGGCAGAGGTCATAACAATCCAGCAGAGGGTCTGTGTGAGGCCTTGTTACGCACACTGTGGGCACAGGCCAGGACGTAGGCTTGAGTGTCATTGTCTAGAGACGGCCACCAGAAGGAGCGCCGGAGCCAGTTGATGGTTCGTCTTATCCCCGGGCGGCCGGAGAGTTGAGTCATGGGCCCATTGTAGGACACGAGATCGGACGGAGGGGGGAACAAATAGACGCCCTGGAGGGCCACCGCCTGGGTCCGGCTGAGTCTGCTGAGCCTCCCGAACTGCAGACTCAATCGCCCAGGTGAGACCTCCTAGGACACAGGCAGGTGGAATGATTGTGTCCTGAGCTGGGTCCATCTCGTCTGGGGAAAATTGACGAGAGAGCGCATCGGGCTTCACATTCTTGCTTCCTGGGCGGTAGGTGATGGTGAAGTTAAAACGGGCAAAAAACAGGGCCCAACGGGCTTGGCGGGAGTTGAGTCGTCGGGCAGCATGGATATATTCAAGATTTCGGTGGTCAGTCCACACAATGAAAGGTTGGACAGACCCTTCCAGCCAATGTCGAGTTAGGGGCAACGCCGTTTGGCTAGAATTTCAAATGAACCGGCGGTAGAAATTTTCAAAGCCAAGGAACTGCTGTAGCTTCTTCCGGTTAGAAGGGATTGGCCATTCGGTCACTGCCTGAACCTTTGCTGGATCTTTACGAATCTGCCCCTCCTCAATGATAAAACCCAGAAATTGTACTGAGGTGACATGAAATTCGCATTTCTCCGGCGTGACGTAAAGTTGGTTCTCCAGTAAGCGCTGGAGGACCTGACGGACATGGTGACAATGTTCCTGTAGATTCGTGGAGTAAATGAGGATGTCGTCGATGTAGACGAACACAAATCTGTTGAGGAAATCCCTTAGCACGTCGTTCACCAAGGCCTGGAAAACGGCTGGGGCATTGGTAAGTCCGAATGGCATAACCAAGTATTCGAAGTGCCCCAGCGGGGTGTTGAATGCGGTTTTCCACTCATCCCCCTCTCGTATCCGCTGTGGTAAGCATTGCGGAGGTCAACTTTGCGAAAATTGTGGCGCCGGGTAGGGACTCAAAGGCGGAGGTCAGCAGTGGTAGTTGGTACCTGTTCCGTGTTGTGTTTGGTTCAGCCCTCGGTAGTCTGTACACGGGCGGAGACTCTTGTCCTTCTTGGCCACAAAGAAGAACCCCGCTCCCACCGGGGAGGATGACGGACGGATAATCTCTGCAGCGAGGGAGTCGGTAATGTAGGTCTCCATGGCTTTGCGTTCCGCTGATGGACTGGTCCTGGAACCCTGTAGCTCCGTTCTCTCCGACACTCACGCATCCGAGCATCCAGACGGATGGTAAGGGCAATGAGGTCCTCGAGTGTCTGAGCCTCTCCCAGAATGGCTAGCTGGTCCTTTAATCCATCTGCCAGGCTGTTTAGGTAAACCCCTCTCAGCGCTCTCTCCTCCCAACCACACTCTGCGGCCAACATGCGAAAGTCTATTGAATGTTCGGCAGCGCTGGTGGAGCCCTGGAGCGAAGTAGGCGCTGCACAGCATGCTGAGTGTGCATAGGGTGGTCAAAAGCTCTCTTAAATGCCTCCTAGAATTGTCCAAACGAAACTGTATCCGGCGGGTTCTGATTAAACCAGGCCTGGGCCCAGTCAAGGGCCCGCCCACGTAACAATCCGGTCAGAGAGGCAATCCTAGATTTGTCCGATGCATACTCGCAGGGCCGCTGATTAAACACAAACGTGGCCTGGAGAAGGAAACCTCGGCATCCCTTCATGTCTCCATGGAAAGGTTCAGGAAACGGAACAAAAGACTCCGCCGTTGGTTCTTGGGAGGAGGGGCGGGCCGGAGCGAGTCCCTGCACCATGCTGCTGATCTCGGCCATCTGCGATCCCATGGTTTGTTGTGAGCCTCGTAGATCATGCAGCAGATGATGTTGTCCCAAAAGAATGCCTTGGTTGATGATCGTCTTCTGCACGGGGTCAGCCGGGGGAGATCCTATAGCGGCTACTGGATCCATTATTTTTGGTCAGTCCGTTCTGTTAGGAAGTGCAAACGGACCCAGATGCAACACGCAGGACCACCAAGGTTTCTTTCTTCAACAGGGGTTATTTATTTTCTCCGGCAGAGAAAAAACAAAGGCAACACAAAAACACAAGTCAATGGTGAGTGACAGGCAGAGGACCTCCACTGCGTGACGCCCGAGGCTCAACGCAGGAGTTTGTAGGTGCTCAGCTGATCTCCGCGGAACTAACTGGCTACCTCTTCGGCCATGTGAATCACCGAGGTTCGACGCTGGATGGTAAGGGTGAAATACAAGGGGTTAACGCAGGATCACAAGGACTGCAACAGAATAACTCACGGAGCCGAGGTACCAGGGTGGCCTAACGGCCGGACTGACAGCTGAGGCGAGAAAAGACGGACTATTTATGTCAGCTGGTTTAATGGGACGATAAGATACAGCTGTGTCAATGGAGGAAGGCGTGGCACTGGGCGGGGCTCTGAGGACACTACTGGGGACACAGAAACAAAAGCACATGGCAAAACATTAACAAACAGGGGAATGACATCAACATGAGGACAGAATATGGGGGAAACAGAGGGAAAAACACCAGGGTTAGGCAGGGATCCTCTCAGAAACAATTCACAGCATGGATCCAAAAATTTCTCCTCAGCACAGTGACGAGAATCCTTCCCATTTTCTGGTTAATATCGTTGTGTACAAAGCAGGTTACTAACAGGTCTCATCTTTTAAACACTGCTGTGTCAGTGTGTGTGTGTGTGTGTGTGTGTGTGTGTGTGTGTGTGTGTGTGTGTGTGTGCGCACCTTTCCCCTTAAAATAACCACTCAGCCAACATCCAAAGCCACATGCTGTTTGTGAATCCTTTACCTCCACAGTGAAAGGTTAAAGGCCAAGCTGTGTCGTGGGCGCTGTTGAGTTCAGGTCGGAGTAAAGCGAGGCAGACAAGCAGCTCACGGAGGAGCTTGCAGCAGCCTGGAGGGTTTAGGGCAGGAGTCCAGCTATGACTGAGGCGCCGCTCAATCACTCATCCGCTACATGTGGAAAACAGACAGAAATACCTCGGACGGCCCGGTCCATCTCATTGTGTGTCACCAAACACGGCGTCCCCCTTTTGTTTTATTCCATCCGTACTCCCCTTGCAGACCCGCCCTAACCACCCTGCTCTAACAGGAAGCTTTGTCAACAGTGCACTCGTGTCCATGACGGCCATTGTGTGTTCCGCTGAAGGCTTTTTCAGCAGTGTATTTTTGGTCCGTTCTGTGACTCACACACACACACACACACACAGAATGGCCCCTCAGT